TTGTGACAACTTTTTAGTCCTCGGGAAGGTTCCTTAAATTTGTGTTTGAAAGTTACACCAGGACCCGCCAAGACTTTTGTCCATGACTGTATTGTAATCCTGATAACTATTATAATTCATAGCTATTATAATCTGATAATAAACTCTGTAATCGAACTCAGATTGTTTTTGTTATCGCAAGCTTACACACTATGGAATTTTTGGCTTTTCAAAGGTTAAAAAATCTTGAATTTTTCTATTTCACTAACTCTTGATTGAGAAGCGCTTGAGCCTTCCAGTTAGCAAGTGTTTCTCTTGAGTCGGGAAAGTACAGGTATTTCCAAGCTTAAGATCACTGTTTAGTGAAACTCAGACCTAAGGGAAGGGTGCGACTTTTGTAGATACATCAAATATCGAGTTCATGAAAATGATGTTTATGTTATTTTAGTGACATCTATTATATAGGTCGTAGCCGATTATGAATCAAAAGATTTCGCTAGCAAAATCACGCTATAACAATTCCTTTCTTTGGGCAAAATCGTTGGCGCTCCAAAAGTTCCAAATATTCCATCAAGTGATCATCAATGGCTCAGACGCTGTTTTTGATTTTAATGCACGGAGGACGTACAAATTTTGTGGAGAGTGATCCTGGTAAATCATCAAAAACTTGTAGTCACCGTCGGGGCACCGATTCGAGGTCAACGAAATCGATTTACATCGCTGATTTTGTTCCTTTCGTCAGCAGCCCTTGGTTGTATAACAACTCTTCTTAGGTATACCCTTCTTCACCTCGCATTCACAACATAAATCTTGACACAAATTCTAATAATCTCCTTTGATCTTCCATGATAGTCGCGAAGTTCCTTCCACATAAGATCGTGTCCAGCTCCTAGTCGGCAATCCCGCGTCCTAGTCCTTGTGAGCATCCAATGTGTAGATCGAAGAGCTCCCCTCTTGACCACTCGCTTTGGTTGATTGTTTTGCTCGCTTCCCTGACTGTAGAGATCTCGACTAGTCCTGTTCTCGTATTGAAGAGAGAAACGATTTAGCGAGCCATGACATCATGACGCGATTTTTTTTTCCTTATCGTTTCCCTCGCTGAATTTGATGATTTCACAACGATTTCACTGGTCAGCAGACGGTATCAAAATCTTCGTAATTTTGTGGAGCATCGGGGAACAACTCTTTGATAGTACCAGTTGGGGGACCAATTTTTCTTCAAAACCACATGTGGGGGGCATCTGCCGGACCCATGACACTAAAAGCATAAAACTACCTCAAAAATGGTTTTGAAGAAAAAATGACCCGCCAATCTAGGATATTATCAAAGATTTCTAATAATGACATAAAAATTTTGTAGGAAGTTTCGTTTTGATCGAGTATCACTCGAATCACGTGAATCAAGTGAATCACCTCAATAAATTGAATATCTTTACATTGAAGGGAACTTGAAACCCAATAAGCGGCTGAATGTCTTTGGAAGGGGTCGTGTGATAACGTATATAAAATTTTACCTCACCGGATCTTAAAATTCTACCCCCTGGATATTGAAAGACCCCTGACCTATGCAAGTACCAAAATCTTCTCTCTTTGAGATTGATATTGCGTGAAGGATTAAAGTAAATCGATCCTCCATCCTAAAAAAGAAAATTTAGTCCGGGATGAAAATATAAAAGCATAAAAGTTAAAAACGTGAAAACCCTTAAACTTTGTTCGAAAGTGTAAAGTATGATTGACAAGTGGTAAATCATATTAGGTGTGTGAAAAAGTAATCTAAGCTTTAACGTTTAAATATAAAAGGATCGGCAAGTCTTCGCTAAAATAATTTTATTCAACGAAGTAATCACCATACGAAAGAAATAACCCTTGCCAACGTTCTACAACGTAAAGACATTACACTGATAATAAAAATCTGGTCCCTCTAGAGGCGAAGAAAAGATCAAACTCGGCTTTGATATCTCTTCGGAATTGAAGCGAATAGTAGGGACAAAAAGTTGGGACAGAGACAAAAAATAAATGAATAATCAGATGGGAGAAAGGTCTGAGATCTAAGTAAGGTGGATGTGGTAAAACCTCCCATCCAACACTCTGGATTTTTGTCGAGTCTATAAAGAGACATGTGGTCGCGCGTTATCGTTCATGCGGTATCCATTTGTCCAACTTTTTTGATAAAATTCATGACATTCAAGCGTTTCCTCACGGTTGACCCATCACAATTTAATGTAAGGCCTATTTCTGAAGAGGTTGAACGAGGATTTTCGAGAAGATAGCTTCTTATTTGGTCATAGGATAAAAATAAAAAACGTGATTACTTTTTCACACACCTAATAGTAACGTATTACGGTTCAAAACATTCAAACAAATTCTGGTCGAAATGGGAAAGTTGCCGATCCGTACTTGAACTGGGTGAATTGAGGTTTTATCAACTACAACATAAAAAAAAATAATTTGACTTGACGACAAATTTCTATAAAAACCTACTTTCATTCATAATCGGCTACGACAAATATAAAAGAGTAATGTCTGTCTGTCTGTCGGTACGGGGAATTTCTCGGTCGTGTTTTGACCAATTTTAAAGCTAAAACTTCTTTAAAATATATCGTAGTTGTGCCATTTAAAAGAATTTTAAAAAATCAGTGTGGGTTAAAAGATCCAGGAATCTAAACTGGATCGTGGGGCCTTAGACAAGGGCAATCTCGACTGCGCCACGGTCGACAAGACCACGCCCGAAAAATCCGCCATTAGTCGGGCTTTTGATGGGTTTTTCGGCTGGTAGACTTATATTTCGGGAACTCTGGCTCCCTTTTGGAAATTCTCTTTAGAGACACAGTTTCGAAAAGCAATTGACTCTCAGGGATGCGGTTGTGGGATCGAGCACAAGACGGTCGTCGCCGGGATTAACGATTGTTTGGTAAAATTTAGAAAATCTTTCTATCTACTATATACAAAAAAATAAAACATCCTTCCGTCTGTCACGCCTACGCGACAATACAAATTACGTTAACGTAAAATTACAACAAAGTTAGCTAGAAAGCTGAAAATTTGTACTAGGGGGTTTTCGGGGGCAAGGAATCCGAATTTGCAATCAGATTTGTGCTACGTGCCCTCTAGGTAGAATATTCGTGCTTAGCGAACGCCTAGTGCAGCTGGTAAACAACAAAAACAGCTTACAATTGTTAATAGAAAAACAGCATGAAATGAGAATGTTTCTATTCTTAAAATTAACTTAAGAGATAGTGAACTACACTTCTATGGGCTCAAGGTCTGATTTCTGGGCTATCAAAGACTGACAATCCAAACCAAAGCCAACCAAAGCCAACCAAAGCCATACTTTTCAGCTAATTGACTATGAGAACTGTAGAGCTAAAAATTCTGCATTGAATGCTAATTTAAATACTAAAATCTAGTTTGGTAACTAAAAATGTTTGTCAGAGATCATTCATGCTCGGTTTAGTGAGTGGAGCAACTAAATTCAGATCTTGTAAAGAGTATTTGACACTTTAATATTGGGTTGTCCAATTCGGAATGCGCGTTTTTTACTATTTTCTAAATTTCTCAAGATATCGAACAGATGTATTTGAGTGCTACATATCATTCGAAAGCTGAAGATCTCCTCGACATTTTGATATAAAAAGCTTTTGAATTTGTTCAGCTTTTGGGCAAATTGACTGCACAAAGGAAGAGGTCGTTTTCGAAAAAACCCATTCCAGCTGAGCCATTCCTCAAGTTTTATGGTGTAAAATTGCCGCCCAGAAAAGAAAAGGTGCTCTGAAATTGTTATATTTTAAAAAAAGTTGTATTGATATATCCATTGACCAAACATCAAACGGTTAACTCAATTTGAGCGGAGTCAAAACTTGATCCAAAGGCACCCTTCCATTTTGTAGAGAAAAGGAACCAAATTGTAGAGAAAAGGAACCGAATTGTAGAAAAAAGGAACCGAATTGTAGAGAAAAGGAACCAAATTGTAGAGAAAAGGTCTTGATCCAAAGGCACCCTTCCATTTTTTGGCCACCTCTTCTTCTGTGCAGTCAATTTGCCCCAAAGCTGAACAAATTCAAAAGCTTTTTATATCAAAATGTAGAGGAGATCTTCAGCTTTCGAATGATATGTAATCTTTTCTTTTCTGGGCGGTTATTTTACACCATAAAACTTGAGGAATAGCGAAGCTGGAATGGGTTTTTTCGAAAACGACCTCTCCCTTTGTGCAGCCAATTTGCCCAAAAGCTGAACAAATTCAAAAGCTTTTTATATCAAAATGTAGAGGAGATCTCCAGCTTTCGAATGATATATAACACTCATATAAATCTATTCGATATCTTGAGAAATTTGCAAAATAGTAAAAAACGCGCATTCATAACTGGACAACCCAATAGTTATAAACTTTATCTTTATTGTTTTTATCAAACCATTCAGAAATTGATTGAATAAAAAGTTCCCAGAAACTTTTGAGCCACTCTATCTTACACGTTGTCTGCTATTTATCATGAAATGAATAAATTCAGAGCGAATCAGTGGCTCAAGGATCGCGAAATGTCGGCAAAACGACGCCGATCAAAGTCCACATCGAATGCTGTAAAAATGAAAGCTGCAAAAAAGAGAAATAACTTCATTATCTTCCATTCAATATCTGTATCTTGATAAACTTTTGCAAAGCTGAAGAATAAACTCAATGTTTTTCAATTCAATTCAGAATGTTTTCAATTTCTTGAAAGTGACGTTATTCTAACCATTAGTTTGGTTATCTTAGTTTCAGCATTTGAAAATTTGAAAGTCTACAACTTGAATAATGAGCTTAAAGTTCTTATCTGCAACGAAAAAATGGGAAGGCATAAATACGAGAAAGAGAAAAGGAGTGAAAAGAATATTGACAGCCCACGCCCAACAATGCATTTTATTACTACAATATTTATATTGTTTTTGCTTTTAAATATTTCCCTTGCTGAGGATTCTGAGTCTGTCGATGTGGTGGGTTTTGAAGAAATGAATTCTTTGGACATTTCATTTGAAAGATTATTTAGAAATAATCAATTCAACTATTGATCAATAAGTCCTTGAACACTACATTTAAAAAGTTATTTACAAATAATCAATTCATCTATTGATTTACGGTTTGCTCCATTAGAAAGCCTTATATTTTCTTTTATAAAAAATCGTTGATCTTATCTTGTTCTTAAATGTTTTATTTCTGGGTTTTTTCGCGAACTTGACCAGACAAAAAGGCGATACCAATGTTAGATTACGCGATTGCGACACTTTAGCCCAAAGAAATCGATTTTGGTGTCAATAGAGAAAAGAAAGAACGCAAAACAGATTGCTTCATAAAAGAATAAAGAATAAAATCTATTAGTGTTTATAAATGACAAATTTACCGGTTGTGAAGCCAACTGTAAAGCCAACTGTAAAGCCAACTGTAAAGCCAACCGTAAAGCCAGCTGTAAAGCCAGCTGCTAAGTCAGCTGCTAAGCCATCTGCTAAGTCAGCTGCTAAGTCAGCTGCTAAGCCAGCTGCTAAGCCAACTCCAAAGCCAACTGTAAAGCCAGCTGCCAAGCCAGCAAGCAAGTCTGCTGTAAAGTCGAAAACGAAGCTAGCTGCAAAACCTTTCACAATTGGCTCTAAATAGAAAATGTTTCTTATTCGTTTTTTCTTATTCAAAAAATGTTTCTTATAAAAGTCATCCGAAGACGCAATTTAGACGCTTTGCTCTACAAAACCAATCTTGATGTCAATAGATAAAAGATAGAGGACAAAAAGTTAGATATATAGCCAAATTTTCAAAGTAATCTGTTCAGCTAATTTCTTTGTAGAGTTTTTTAAGTCAATTTCATTCATTTTCATTTTCATTTTCAAGCAAATTCAAGTGAAAAAACACGTTTTTCATATAAAAAGCTCTACAAAGACATTGGCTGAACAGATTACTTAAAAAATTTGACCAGATATCTAACTTTTTGTCCTCTATCTTTTATCTATTGACATCAAGATTGGTTTTTGTAGAGCAAAGCGTCTAATTTGCGTCTTCGGATGACTTTTTGACTACCCGACTTTGACTTTTTTGACTTTTTTGACTATAAAAAACTCGAGATAAAACATTTTCATAAGATTCGAGCGTTATTTTATAAAAAAATAGTATCCTAAAGTCGCGAGTATAAGTTCTGTTTGGTTTTCGCATGCAAATCGACGGCTGTCTCCGGTGCGGTGTGTCGAGGGTTCGAACCCCGCTGCAGCATAACTTTTTTGCTTTTTAAGAACAATAATAGAAGTAAATTTATTGAGGGTTATAGCAATTTTATGCTGTTATTTGTTGCTCCGGGCGTGGCTTGACTATGCCGGGCGTGGCTCGGCGCGTCCGCCCTGCTCCTCTCCAGTGTTCAGTCTTATGGATCCCTCCCTGGCCTCTTCATCCGGCCAAAGTCCACGTCGACGGTCGAAAGAGATGCTTTCCAGCGTCTTCTTCAACACTATCGTCTGGATGTATCCATGCACATAACAAATAGCAATGGTGATAGGCTGTCACCCTGTAGTCACCCTGTAGTCCTGTAGGCTGTCACCCGCGCTCCAAGAACAATAATAAAAGTTTATATAACAATAAAATTGTATAAAAACCCAACAAAAAGAAATTCAAAGCAATTAAAGCGAATGTAAATTAAGGCAGAACTTATACTCGGATCAACTTATACTCGAGACTTTAGGGTAGGTTTTTCTAATGAAATTGGTTATTTCTAAATAGCTTTTCAAATAAATAGGCTTTTCTAAATAGCTTTTCAAATGAAATGCTCAAAGCCAACCAAAAACTTTACCAAATTCTTGCCCCAATTCCACTTTAGATCCGCTATTTCAACGATGTTCTGGACTTTTCGAGTCCAAATTACCCAAATTTTTACACAAACGAGGGAACCAGGTGTCGTAGAATGAAATCTTTGAATACTAAATCAGTTACTAAATTGAAAATTTACAGATTAGTGTTGCATTTGGAAATGGAGAAGGATTCTGAGAGGGCGTACGCGTTTCAATTCGAGCGCTTCGCTTTGGCGCCAAATGATTGTCTTTATTTTTGCGCTATGAACGATTCGTCTCTATGCTTTGCGTAAGGTTTACTAGAAATTGCTTTTATCAAAAGCTCTAGAAAAATGGATTCATTGAATGCCACGTTGGTGAAGAAATGTGGGAATGAAATGGATCACAGAAGACCATCACATTACTACGAACTATCAGGCTTGTTTAGACTTAAAATCTTCAAAGTTCTGACAAAATGAATAGCTCTAATCGATTCTGCGACGCCGAAAACCCTTGGGTACAAATTTATAGCTGAATATCTCCTTTTTTAAACCATCTACAAAGAAAAGAAAATTCCTGGTGTAAATGACTGGCGTTCTTTGTGTGGCCGAGTAATCGCTCGCGGTCTGGCATATGGTCTTGGCATAAGGTGCTTGGCTTTTCCTTCGAGCTTTCCGCGTTTTCTTTTCCCCTTTCGCCGTCGCTATGCCCAAATTTTTCTATTTTTGCCTTAAATCAGTCCTTAATCATTTGTGAGCAATTGTTGCCTTTTTGCTGTTTTTCTACAAATTCTAGCCAACTCCAATCGAACCTAGCCCGTTTAAGTTTCCCATTTATCCTTGAATCGTTCTTTTTTCACAATTATTTGTTTGATTTACCGTATTCTCTCTAATAGTAGTGCACCTGGCCGAGCCAAGTTGATGACTGTTTTCTAGTTTCCAAGTTTTCACAGAAGCTCAACTCTCCAATCCCTCACAAGATCTCATCAGCTACATTTTCCGACCTCACATCGATAGGTTCTGATAAGCGGTTTTCGAGATTTCGAGCAATTTAGGCAAGGCTCAGGGTGCACTACTAATAGAGAAAATACGGTATATAGAATTTTAAAAACGATTCCTGTACTCCTTGTTTTTGATTGCTTTTCAAAAATCTCCCCATTCTTTGATCAAAAAAACTGATAACAGATAGATATAGAGAAAAGATTTGAAGTTAAGTCATCCGATTTTTAAGTTAAGTCATCCGAAATAAGTGAACTGTGATTGTTTTTGCTAAATGTTATTGTTTAGACACTTTGTACGTTTTCTTTGTCTCGCAGAACACGAGCGTTCCATACCCCGGATATAATGGAAGGGTCTTTCCGATAGGTGAGATCATTTTGCTTTTATAAGATAAGGATTTTTTTGGAAGCAATTTTTTTATTGTAGACAATGTCTCAAATTTCAGATAAGAAAGCCCAAATTTACAACCATTGCGAGAAAGTGAACAGTGTCGATTTGGATCATCTCTCCGAATGGTGGAGCCTCGCCTCGGATCGTTCGTTTTTGCTTTAATTTCTAAACATGAGATTTCTAAAACGCACTAGAAAACCACCGTAATTTAAAATACATTTATTGAAAGCCAATAATGTGATACAAACAAAGGATACATAATAAGACATAACGGTCTAAATACACAATTTTTATGGCACTGCGGCCGTTACCCCTATTATCCCTATTACCCAAATGTTGTGAAAGAAAAAACCCACTTGGTGGGAAAAAGAAACATTTTTATCTTGCCAGCGTGATTGAACCCTCGACCTTCCGCTTAAAAGACAAGACTTCTAACCGGTCGGCCATCTGGCCTTGAATTAATTTAACTTCAAGTTTACATCCAATTAGCCCAATTTTTATATCGTTGACTGACACCTTGTGATTTTTCATTGAATAATACAAAAATTGGGCTGATCTAATGAAAACTGGAATGGTGATTATGGTAGTTTTCAAAAATAGATGCTTTTAGAAAATGGTTTAGTGACCTCATTCTATACAGGATGTTCAGTATTTACGGAACTCTTTTGGTAGACTTTTGTTCCCAAGCGCCAAGTTTAACCCTAATGCGTTAAATGTTATATAAAATATTGAAGCCCTTACTCTTGGCTACATTTTTCTATTAAAAGTTTCCCGATTAAAGATATACAACTCATTTTACAAGCCTTTCAATGAGTACTAATTGATTCTTATCCTGCTGCCATTTTTAACGATTTTCTTCATAAAAAAATTCTTCAATCAGAAAGAGTTCCTTTCGGTCAAATTTGTGGTATTTTTTCTAAAAATCGTTTTCATCAAATTTATAGCATCAGATCAGTTAACATAATAAGGAGCACATATGAACTGAACATCGAAAAATACTCAATTTGCACTTCTTTTCTTGCGCCACGAAAGGAATTTGACTTTAACTCAAATTTCAGTAAGACGCTTTGGTCAAAAACAGTTCTTAATGTTATTAAATCGTGCTAAATAATATTTTAACATAAAATAAATATCGAAAAACTTTTTCTAACAATTTATTATAATAAAAATCGCCAAAAATCGCCAAAAATAGCAGCGTGCCGGCGAGGCATCAACTAGTACTCATTCACGAGCTTGTAAAATGAGTTGTAGATCTTCAATCGGGAAACTCTTAATAGTAAAATGTAGCCAAGAGTAAGGGCTTCAATATTTTATATAACACGTAACGCATTAGGGTTGAACTTGGCGCTTGGGAGCTAATCTACCAAAAAGAAGTCGCCGTAAATACTGAATACCTGAATATTCAAAAAAAAATTCAGATTCTTCATAGCTATCCAAGAAGTTTTTCAGATTTTTTCATCAACACGCCAACGATTAATTATGGAACGCTGAATGTGAGCTGCCAAATCAAATTCACCACTGCCGACAGTACAAATATTCGAGTGGCAATCTACGCTTTTTCTTCTTCACAACCAATGTTTTTCACGGGCATCAAGGCAAATGAGACGGATCAAACGACATTTAACTTAACGTACGCTATTAAACACAAAATTAGGATAGTTTTTGTAAGTTGACACACTTTAAAGACTATATAAAGTAGGCTACAGTTGATTTACAGCGAATTTGTCTACAGTTTTTAACTCAATTGGAAAATTTGAAACTTTAATGTTTAAAACGTGTCTTCTAGTGTCTGTAATGCAACAAGTACCTTGAATAGCACAATTTAAATAGTTTATCATCAGTAATTCAATTATACCCAATAGATTTTTCATCAGTAATTCAATTTCAGCGGTTCAAAAGATCCACTCGCATATTACTTCAAAAAAGATCTCACTTTATCGTTCGATTTCACCGCTGATCAGCAGTATTACTACTATTTAATCGTTGAACGATATAATGGTAAAATTGTTTGAAATTTTTACTTACAAATAATTTTCAAAATGATTTCAGAAAAAGAAATTAGAACTACACTCTGTCAAAAAATTATCGACGCCCCCTGTTTTTTGCTAGTTTAGAGCCGGATATAAGTGCTAGTCCAGTGAAAAGTATTTTTTAGTTTCTTTAATGTAAAAAAACAACCCATGCAAAATTTCAAGTCATTTCACTCATCCAAAGTACTTTATCGTACAAAAAACGTTTTATCAGCTGTCAAAAAATTATAGACGCGCTTTTATTTTATCAAGAAAAAGTTAACAGAAATAAAAATAACAACGCAAACCAAATAAATTAATAATGTGTGGCTCCTCCTTGCTTTAGTCCAACTTCAAAAAGACGTCTCGGCATCGAAGAGACAAGGTCATGGAGCGCTGTTGGCTGAAGCCGATTCCAGGCTACTTGAATGGCTTTCTTGAGTTCATTCACGCTCGAATATTGCTTGTTTCCCTTGTAGACATCTCGAACGAGTGTCCCCCACACATTCTCAATCGGTTTTAAGTCTGGGCTGCAAGCGGGCCAAGCGACAGTGCCGATTTTGTGCGCTGTCAGCCAATCTGTAATACAACCTTTACGCCTCGTGTAATTTCAGTGTAAATAATCAACTAAAATTTGCAATTCTTTTCATTTTCTATCTTGTTTATTAACAAATTTTAAATTTGTTAAATAAAAAGACTTTAAATAAAACGGCTAAATGCTTTTTTTCAAAATAGATTTATAAAATTTTTTAACGGAATTGACTCAAATTGGTACCATTAGACGCTGAAAGGGGTGGGATTTCTGAATCTAAACGTGGAACGTAAAATTTAAATGTAAATGACGAAATTCCTGTTCGAATTCTAAAGCTAACCTTTGCTACTGCATCATGCTTTTATGAAACTTTGGATTTTTTTGCTATAGTGAATCGATTTAGTGTTAAAACTGGTCAATAAGTATTGAAATGTCAGATTATCGTATCTTTAGGTTAACCGAAACTTTCAATCAACCTTAAAAACCTTGAAACTGAACTAAATCTCAACTTTCGAAACAAGAAAGTTTTTAGAGACGTATTCATTTGACTCTTGCAACAATGTGGGCAGCTTTGATATGAGTACACGAAGCTCCGTTAGTCTCTCTGCATTAGATGACTCATATGGATATATGAACAATTCAAATTGTGCCTGGAACTTTTACAATGCGCCAAAGAATACACAATTGATGCTACAAGTGACAACGTATACGGAAAGATGTTGCGATATTCTGTGGGTGACCGGCACCGCGTTTGATGTAAGTTTAGCGTTTTGAAGTTACCGGATTTTCTCTAGTACCGTAAAACTTCTAATATGCGTATATATACGTCTATTTTTCAAGTACCCTCTAGAGTGTACGTCTATTGGAGCATGTACGTCGAATAGAGCATGCACGTATATTAGGAGATGCTCTCTTCGACGTACATGCTCTAATAGACGTACACTCTAGAGGGTACTTGAAAAATTGACGTACATGTACTGAAAGTTTTGCGGTAGTAGTGCACGCAAGCGAGCCGAGATGATGACTATTTTACGGTTTTAAAGTTTTCACAGAAGCTCAACACTCAAATCCCCCACTAGATCTCATCGTCAGCTACATTTTCCGACCCCATATCTATAGGTTCTGATAAGCGCTTCTCGAGATTTCGAGCAATTAAGGCAAGGCTTAAGATGCACTACTATTAAGGAGAATACGGTATATAGCTACATAACTAAATAACGATAGGTTCTGATAAGCGCTTCTCGAGATTTCGAGCAATTTAGGCAAGGCTCAGGGTGCACTACTATTAGAGAAAATACGATAATAGTTTTTGCCTTCAATAGGATCAACAGTATACATTTATTCAACATAAATAAGGTGACACAAACAAATACACAACTTAACGCACGGCTGCCCTAAAGATTTTGCAGAGAAAAACCCATGCATTTGGAGAAAGAGCCAAATTTTCTAGCCGCTGGGATCGAGCCCATGACCTTTACAAGAATTTAGCTGCAAGTTTGCATCCAGTTAGTCCAATTTTTATATCGTTGACTGACACCTTGTGATTTCTCATTGAATAATACAAAAGTTGGGCTGATCTAATGAAAACTGGAATGGTGATTACGGTAGTTTTCAAAAATAGATGCTTTTAGAAAATGGTTTAGTGACCTCATTCTATACAGGACACAAGACTCCTAACCACTCGGCTATGGTCACAGAGTCTTTCCCTCGCGATTAATACTTTTTCTAAAACGCGCTCCCGAGAAAAAGTATCGTTATCCTGTCAAGAAAACAGGCAAAATGAATATATGAAAACGGAAAAACATTATTTTTCGTTTGCTTCATTTCATTACAAAAAAATAGTGATTCTTTTTCTTCGTTAGCTGCTTCTGAGCAATGTATCTAATGTAAGCAATGTATGCTTCCGAGGAATGTATGCTTCTGAGCAATGTAAAGCTTCCGAGCAATGTATGCTTCCGAACAATGTATGCTTCTGAGCAATGTATGCTTCAGAGCAATGTATGCTTCCGAGCAATGTATGCTTCAGAGCAATGTATGCTTCCGAGCAATGTATCTAAATCTCATTAGCTGCTTCGTTTCAAATTTATTTTATTTAATTGAAATTTTAGAATATACCGATAGAAATCATTCTCTTTATTAAGCAAAAATCAAAAAATACAGGAAAAATATTTACGCAATACTTTTGATTAAAGAACAATCTCCAATTATTTTAAGCAAATGTCAAAACAGCCTAGTTTACCGTCTTTAGTATGGCAATGGAAAACAACCAGACATTATTCGCTAAATGTGATTTATGCGAAAAAGAATCGACTTCAATCTTTAATCGAGAACAAAATAAGACAAAATATAAAAATTAAACGTTAGATTTTGCTACGATCTTTAATAACTTAATTTAAATTAGCTGAATAGTTGGCTAAGGCTAAGGTGCGATTAAAAAACGCATTAATCCCGCATTAATCGACGATTAATCGATTTAAATTTTAATTCTCCAACTTTACTCGATTAATTACGGGAAACAGACTTCAATCAACCGTATCTGTCAATGAATGAAACTTAGAAAGTTAACGAGATTACTGTAGCTTTAGAGAACACCTCTAGAACAACAAAGAAACAACTCCCAGTGAAGATTAAACATTTAAATCTTGTATCGAGTGTTTTCTATAAGTAATCTTTCTTTTTTTGTCCTTTTTGCTTTTGATCCCATTCAATTCATCAAATTCATTCAATTCAGAAATCATCGCTAAACGTCTAAAAAAAAGACTACGGTATCGTTACCTATCTTTTAGAAAAGCTTCATGCAAAATTAAAATGCTTAAAAGGCTGGGATCTCTTCTTTTCGATTGTTTTCTAAAAGATGCGCAAAGCTACCGTAACCCAGCTGGCTTTTAAAGTTTCAGTCATTCATTGCACTGTCTTGGATCTGAAAATGAATGAAGTAAATTTTTAGCCTCTAAAATTTGATGGCTACTATCCATGGTCTCTCGTCTATGCAGCACAAAACGAACTCAAACTTTCCTTTTTAACTGACAGCATTGAATCGTATACGCAAATGAGTGGATCAGTGACAGCTGTTGGTGAGTTAAGAAAGTTTTCAAAAGTTTGACCAATTTTAGATGATTGTGGGATCTTTTATACGCGCCCCGCCCTTTTGCCATTGGCAATCCAACTTTGAACTCAAATTTCTTGATGTTGGGCCGTTCAATTTAAATAGTTTTTGTACCAATCGATAGAGAAAGACTTGGCGCATCTAATGATACAAAGAATATTTAAATTGGACAATTGAACACCAAGGTATTTGAGTTCAAAGTTGGATTGCTAATAGGAAAAGGGGCGGGGCGCGTATAAAAGGTCCAATTTAAGTATTCTTGGTAGCATTAGATGCGCTAAGTCTTTCTCTATCGATTAGTATAAAACTATTTAAATTGAACAGCCCAATATCAAGAAATTTGAGCTTAAAGTTAGATTGCCAATGGGAAAAGAGGCGGGGCGCGTATAAAAGGTCCCACAATGGCCCCGCCCATTTTGCCATTGGCAATCTAACTTTAAGCTCAAATTTCTTGGTGTTGAGCTGTTCAATTGATATAGTTTTTGTACCAATCGATAGAGAAAGACTTAGCGCATCTAATGATACAAAGAATATTTAAATTGGACAATGGAACACCAAGATATTTGAGCTTAAAGTTAGATTGCTAATGGGAAAAGGGGCGGGGCGCGTATAAAAGGTCCCACAATGGCCCCGCCCTTTTTGCCATTGGCAATCCAACTTCGAACGCAAATTTCTTGATATTGGCCCGTTCCATTTAAATAGTTTTATACTAATCGATAGAGAAAGACTTAGCGCATCCAATCTAACTTTAAGCTCAAATTTCTTGGTGTTGAGCTGTTCAATTGACATAGTTTTTATACCAATCGACAGAGAAAGACTGGGCGCATCTTATGATGCAAAGAATATTTAAATTGGACAATGGAACACCAAGATATTTGAGCTTAAAGTTAGATTGCCAATGAGAGAAGGGACGGGGCACGTATCAAATATCCGATAATCAGTTTAGATTGCTCCTGCTCAAACCCACAAATCACTCTGAAACCGCCAGAGTCGAAGAATGTCACTTATGGCTTTAATGGGACTTTTCCCTATTGTAGTCCGGCACAATGCAGTTGGACTGTGTAAGTTTAATTTTGCTTAAAAAGTTTGAACCAGTAAACAGTTATTCACACGAATAATATGGTACAAACAATACACAAGCGCCCTAATCCCTAATCCCTAAATGTAGAGAAGAAAAAAACCAATATATATGGGAAAAAAGTGCCAATAATCTAGCGGTATTGAACCCTTAACCTTCCAACTCTTAGGCAGTCGGCTCTTAGCTGGCTATGGTGGAAAAATATCTAGACATTTTTGGAGAATAGTTGGCCTTGAACTGTAGACTGAATGCCAAAAAATTCAGTTTTTTCAACGGTTATCAAGCTAGTTTTTTAATGGTTATTTTAGAGGTTTTTTTTTACAAATATACGTTCCTAGGTATAAACGGATGTGAACTAGAATTTGGGTTAAGAATTAGTTGAAGGCTTTGAGTCTCACTAGTAGTTGCTAGAGTCGGGAGCGTGCTTGTCTACGGCCCACACAACCCGGGTTCGACTCTCGGCTGTGTTGTGACTTATTCGTTTCTAGGTATAAACGGATGTGGACTAGAATTTGGGTTAAGTTAAAGAGAGTGGATCCCTTTTGATATCCCGCCATCTCTAACACCCCGACAACCAAACCAACCCAACTCAACTCCTCCAACGTATTAGAGGGGAGTCCCTGTGAAATGACCGACCTGTACTGCAGTTGTATAGACCCGGAAGAGTTATTTACAGTAATACAATAAGATGAATAGATTACAAATGAGTGTAAGGGGAAGGGGGGACTCCAAATGAGAGTTTCACTTGTCTAGGTCACTCACAAGTCTCATTTGTTCTCCTAGGCAATCCCAAGGACAGCCCCTTCTCGGCAATAAAAGGGATAAGCACAGGGGAGAACACATTTGAATGATTTGTCTATTTTTATGCATAAGAATAGACAAATCATTCAATAATAACAATAGTAACTAAAATATCAGTTTGGCTCGGAGCTGACACAAATGATTTATGGTATCAAAAATAAAGCTATTGTCTTTTGGCTTAACTTCTTCAACTTAAACAACTTCTTAAAATGTAAACTAAAGAGCAAAAAGAGTAGGAAAAGAGTGTTTCGAACCAGAAAAAAACGCTGATGCTGACAGGATTTATCGTTTCTATAGTAAATCTATGTTTTACTAAAGTAAATCATTAAAAAAAAGCTTTGCTTACAATTAGAATAAAGCTGGAATGACAAAAACAAAGTGATTTATTAGGTTGTCGGATTATGAATTGCCGTTGTCTTTTTTGCTTTGTATTTTTTTTCAAATAAATTTTTGTGGTACTTTTTTAACTATATTAAAGAGCGTTTTATGCCGCGTCGATTGATATATTATTCGTCTATATTTGCTTAGATTTTTAATATAAATTTGTCTTAGGAAATGAACGACATCAAAAATAAAATGCGGATTTGTTTGTTGTACGACTTCAAACAAAGAAAAACAGCGGCAGAATCCCATCGCTCTATCAGCAATGCATTCGGAGAAGATGTTATCAACGAACGTCAATGTCGCAATTGGTTTCAGCGCTTTCGGGACGGCGACGAGAGCCTTGAAGACAAAGAACATGAGAGGCGACCAAAAACTGTGGACGATGAGGAACTTAAAGCAGCCATCGATTCTGATCCTGCCCAAACGACACGAGAACTTGCTGAGAGGTTCGGTTGTCATCATTCCACCATTGCTGACCACTTGCATGCCATTGGTAAGGTGAATAAATGCGGTAAATGGGTGCCTCATGAACTAAGCGATTTGAGCAAAACAACGCGAATCAATATGGCCGGAATTCTTTTTGCGTCAAGCCAAGAACAGTGGTTTTTTGAGTCGATTGTCACGTCTGATGAAAAGTGGATATCCTTTTGATAATACCACTAGAAAACGACAATGGTTGGACCCTGGACAAACCTCAAAACCGACTCCAAAACCAGACATCCATGGCAAAAAGGTGATGCTATGTGTTTGGTGGAATAGCAAAGGATTGGTGCATTTTGAAGTGCTAAATTCTGGTCAAACGGTTAATGCGGACCTCTACAAAGAACAATTAAGCCGCGTCGATCAATCGCTTCGTCGACAGGGAGTGGAAACAGCGTCAACAAAATTGCTCCATGACAACGCGCATCCACACACCGCAAAAGTAACTCTCAAAAAAATTGAAGAATTGGGCTGGGAACTTCTGCCTCACCCGCCATATAGCCCAGACCTTGCGCCATCTGATTACCCTTTGTTCCGGTCGATGCAGCATTCCTTGGTCGAAAAAAAAAATTCAAAAACCGCGATGAAGTCCAAATTTGGGTGGCCAATTTCTTTGAGTCACAGCCGGTCGAGTTCTTCAACAAGGGCATTCATTCTTTGCGTGGACGTTAGCGATATGTCATAGATACCGATGGAGAATACCTTTTAGATTAAATTATTTTTGTATTGATTTTATAATAAAATTACTTTTTGATAAAAACGGCAATTCATAATCCGACAACCTAATAGTAAAAACGAACGCACGACTATCCTCCAAATCGATCCAAACATTCAACTCTTGAATGCAGATTCGTTAAATGTACAAAATTCTTGGAATGCGTGAGAGAAAGTGTTTTTTAATGATTAAATCAAAGTTTAGTGTCTTAAATGTTCGAGCAAATCAAAGACTTTTGATTCAAGTGATAATCTCGAAATCGTTTTTAATTCATTAGCCAAATTCCCAACAAATAGACCCGATGATGTGAATGCTGGGATGTCACTTTTTCTTACTTCAATTCAATGTTTAAAACATTTCTTTTGGCTCTATTTGAATTTTAAACTTTTCAGTGAGGATAACAACTGTCCAGAGAGATTTATGCGTTGATGAATTCGTGGATGTTCATGGGGATATGTTGACACAAAATTTTCAAGCGATCGTCTATGAAATAAGCACGACGAGCTGCAAAAAGTGAGTAGATTATTTGTTTTTCTAGTTCTTCTTAATGTAAAATCAAATTTTAAGATTCCTGAGCTTTAAATAGACTTTAAATAGAAATAAGAGTTGAATGACGATTGATTTGAACCGACTTAACCACAAAAAACTTACCCAGATAAACAAAATTTAAATCTAACGACCGTTTTTTGTTTGAGAACACTTGAAGAAAGATCTTTTTAGATCAATCATTGCAAACTTTTTCGACAATCCACATGGCTATTCGGTGAACGTCTACGATGGAGAGCTAATCACGGGAACAACGTTGAAATGGAACAAGTAACATTTATGATATTGGGTTGATGGAAAAGTCCTTTCCGATTTTTTGGGGAAAGTACCTTAAATTCCAATTTCTAATTGTCCAATTTGGACGTTTTATAGCTCATCCTAAAGCTGAATTCAAGACGGATCGATTGGTAAAAACCGTTTTGAGATATCTCTTTTCTAAAAGTTTTTACAGCTATTTTAGTAAAGGGCGGCAGAGCCAAAAAAGCCAATATATAAAAAGCATTGTCTGTTTGTCTGTATATCTGTACGGACTTTTTCTCAGCCATCTTTAGGCCAAAAAAATTGAAATCTTTTAAAAAGTCCCAAAATATAATATAGTTGTGCCATTTAAAATTAAAAAAGTGTAAATTGAGTGGCACTACGGGGGTCGAACCCGGGTGATATGAGACGTAGCTCCCGACTGGGCCACGGCGACAACGATACCTAGCTAGTGCCGCCGTTAGGCAGGTGATAAGAATATATTTTAGTTGTGTCACCGTCAAACGACGAATCGAACTCGTTGTCGCCGTGGCCCAGTCGGGAGCTACGGCTCATATCACCCGGGTTCGACCCCCGTAGTGCCACTCAATTTACACTTTTTAATTTTAAACTGTTTGCATTTAGGTACAAACGCTTTGACGTTTGTAAAATCCACAAAACAAAGCTTTTCAGAATCTCTCAAAAGCCATTTTGTGATAGACCAATGATAGACCTTTTTGACTATATAAAGAATGGATTACCGTGTTTTCTCTAATAGTAGTGCACCCCGGCGAGCCGAGTTAGTGAGGATTTTACGGTTTCCAAGCTTTTGCAGAAGCTCAACCCTCAAATCCCCACTAGATCTCATCATCAGCTACATTTTCCGACCCCACATTGATAGGTTCTGATAAGCGGTTCTTGAGATTTCGAGCAATTAAGGCGACGCTCTGGGTACACTACTACATTAGAGAAAATATGGTATATGAAACTTTTAACAACGCAGAAAAATTTCATACTCATCAACCCAAGAAGTCAATTATCACTATATTGTTGCTATATCGTGGTTGCACTTATAAGATTCAGAGCTTCAATTCTCTATATCAAACTTGGTACCTTTGAATTCAAATTAGGCCACAATTACATTAACAAAAGGGTGCGCCCATGATTTTTTTGTCACTGTAAAAGAGTAGTGTCTGTCCTTCCGTCCGTCCGTCTGTACGAGCTTTTTCTCAGCCGTCTTTAGGCCTTCAAAAGTCTTAAAGTATAATATAGTTGTGTTATTTAAAATAAAAATTAGAAAAGTCATTATTGAGCGGCACTACGGGGGGTCGAACCCGGATCGTGTGGGTCGTAGATAAGCGCGCTCCTGGCTGCGCCATGGCGACAGGAATAATTCGCTGTTAAGTGGGTTTTTCGACTGGTTTAACAAGGAGGTTGACAAGTACTACTGTTTCACTTAATAAGCTTTGTTTTTTGCTGATAGAGATGAACATAGACAACAGTAAGGCAACTTTGGTTTCCTCTAATTTTAGTTCTGCATAAAAAAGAGTTCATTCTCGATGACAATATCTTCAAATCCTTTTCAGTATTTCAAACGAGAGCTTCTATTGCCAAAAGTTTAGTCTTAAAAACCTCTATCTACTAAAATGCTAATATTTTTTCAGTTTTGCTGACACTAGTCCAATGACGATATCTTCAAATTTGATCACAATTCGAATCGTTAGACTAGATGGAGCAACGAGTTTTCATGCACTTTTCACAACAAGTAAGCGATAGTTTATGAAAAGTAGATTCTATTGAACAATCAGAATCTAGAATCAGAATCAGAATTATCGTTTTATTGTTGCCTTTGTTCTAGATCCCGACATCATCATCAAATCAAACCCAAACACTTGCTTTGGAGCTACTGTCTCGAATAATATCTCAATTGTTTCCAATCAATCACAAACTATTGTCATTTATCAAGCCTCTGGAGCTGTTGGTGGTTATTTTGGAATGACTTTTAAGCCGCACGGACAATTGAATTATCAAATGTTTTATGGAGCATCGACGAAAGATGAGGATAGGATTTTTGGGTAATTAAATTTATTGTTTTGACAATATTGCCAAAACTCGTTTAACAAGGTTTTACCTTTAATTTCTTTTAAATCATTTAGATAAAAGATATTCAATGTTTAGCCTGTAATACTGTATTGAAATTCGGCACTGCACATCTGCACACTGAAATGCGTTTCGCGAAATAGAGAATTTTTTCGATTTTCTCATTTCTTTTTTAAAAAATGTTATAACTTTTTGTAGAGTTGAGCAAATTTGATGATTTTTGCATCAAAATGTTCGTAAGAGTCTCTAGAATAAAACTTATCCCTTCGTTTTTTGTTCTAGACCCTCGTTGTCGAGTTACGAGCCCCAAACTGCAGGGTACCACAAAATTTCCCATACAAAATGACCAAAAAAACCGCTAAACCTAAATTTTAAAAATTTCTGTCAGAGGGATTTGAAAAATTCCTTCAGATTCGGAATCAGCACAATTTTCCGCATCTAAAAAAGGTACTCCCAGAAAAATCCGATAGAAAACGCATTTTTGCCTTATTTCGCGCCGATGTGCACTGATTTAGTTCAGAAATGATTTTAGTAACGCCACTCAATGCGACACTTCGGCTGCAAATCCACCAGATTTCCTCTTTGGTCAATATGTTACGCTGAAATTTGAAGGCACTCAGAATGGAATGATTGAACATTATTGCACTAATCAAAGTATCTGCCTAAATTTGAATGTCAATTTAAAACATTTCAGGCAACTCATTATGGGCAACAGCTTTCACCAGTGAAATCGGCTTGGTGATGTCACCGAAATACCTAACTTCAAACGATCCATCAGTGAAGAGTTATGCTTTCATCATTCAATATGTAAGTGACTGTTTTATAGCTTGCAAAGACGTGCAAGACTCTAGTGCAAGACTGTAAGTGCTCGATTTTTCAGTCGGGTACCAGCTCTAAATCGATTGCCCTCGATTTTCTCAACAAAATCCCGTTAAACGGAAAATTGACTGTGATTACGGACGTTGGAAAGAGCCAAATGGGAACGACGTGAGTTATATAGAGACTTAGCCATTGCAAACTTAGCCAAATGATTGGATAACTATTGGGTTGTCCAGTTATGAATGCGCGTTTTTTACTATTTTGTAAATTTCTCAAAATATCGAACAGATGTATTTGAGTGTTACATATCATTCGAAAGCTGAAGATCTCCTCTACATTTTGATATAAAAAGCTTTTGAATTTGTTCAGCTTTTGGGCAAATTGGCTGCACAGAAGAGGTGGCCAAAAATGGAAGGGTGCCTTTGGATCAAGACCTTTTCTCTACAATTTGGTTCCTTTTCTCTACAATTCGGTTCCTTTTTTCTACAATTCGGTTCCTTTTCTCTACAATTTGGTTCCTTTTCTCTACAAAATGGAAGGGTGCCTTTGGATCAAGTTTTGACTCCGCTCAAATTGAGTTAACCGTTTGATGTTTGGCCAATAGATATATCAATACAAGTTTTTTTAAATATTACAATTTCAGAGCATCTTTACTTTTCTTTTCTTTTCTGGGCGGTTATTTTACACCATAAAACTTGAGGAATAGCTAAACTGGAATGGGTTTTTCGAAAACGATCTCTCCCTTTGTGCAGTCAATTTGCCCAAAAGCTGAACAAATTCAAAAGCTTTTTATATCAAAAATGTAGAGGAGATCTTCAGCTTTCGAATGCTATATAACACTCAAATACAGCTGTTGGATATCTTGAGAAATTTACAAAATAGTAAAAACGCACATTCATAACTAGACAACCGAATAGAAATACGTTAAAGACAAGGGGGTTACAGACGCGCGAAAGTGACGATCTTTTTTCATATATGATATTTCATTGTCCAGTAGTGTAACTTTAATCAGACTCCGTACGCATCCAATCAGCTCTTACAGCCACCAAGACTTGCTTTCCCGATAGTTTTTTGACTTATAACACACGAAATTGTCCCAAAATTCATAACTGGACAATCCAATACGAAATTCTTAATAATCTCTGACATAGATGGAAACTAAAAAGTTTATTTAAAGCAGTTTATTTAAAGTAGTTTATTTAAGCATATTTCAGTTAAAAGTTGTGGATTCTGAAATTCTTTACGAATTTGAGTAGGTAAAATATATAAACGAAGAAAATCTTATTTTCGATTATTTTTTCTTATTAACTTTCTTTATTTATCGAAATATAGAAAGGGAAATGAAAAGAACAGAATATATTTGTATTGATTTTGTTAAAATAAAAAAGGAATGCGCGACCGGGGCTCGAACCCGAGTCAGGAACGCCTGGCTGGCTTTGTATCCAAGAGCCTTATCCTCTAGACCACGAGACCATCCCTGACCGACACGAAAAAAACCTTTTAACCGAGATGTTGAAAACTTCTATAAAGCTAATTTTCGCTAATTTTTCTGATTATTAAGCTGATTATCAAAATAGGAACCGTAGTGGAACCGAATTAGATCAAAATAGGAACCGTATTGGAACCGTATTGAAGCCGTATTGGAACTAATATTGGAACCGTATTGAAACCGAACTTTTCAAGTATGGGCAGCTAATTTTTGCGACAATTTGATCACCTTAGTTTCTATTAGTCGCCTCTATAACTTCTTGGGCGTCTGACAATCGGCGTTGGTGAGCTGGGGTTTTTCTCTTAGAAGCTAAGCGAAACTTGGTTTCTGGCAAATTAGGACCTTTTGAATCTCTTGATTTATGAACTTTTCTAGTCGGTTTGACTGGGAAAAGTTCTTTAGAACAAGCCTGCAAAAAATCATAACTATAAAACCTGTAAAATTTGCAGTTACACACCAAACAACGCGGTTTGCAATGCCGAGTTCAGCTCGACGAGACTCTACCTAAGTTATCAATGGGCGTGTGACTCGATTGATGGATGTGGACCCGGATTGTTGATACAGTAAGATTGTTGATACATATTTAGAGCTAGTTAAAGTACAGTAAGACAGTACAGTAAGTAAAGTACAGTAAGACAGTACAGTAAGACAGTACAGTAAGACAGTACAGTAAGACAGTACAGTAAGTAAAGTACAGTAAGACAGTACAGTAAGTAAAGTACAGTAAGTAAAGTACAGTAAGACAGTACGGTAAGTAAAGTGCAGTGTTGACACAGTAAGATCTTAAAATAAATAAATTTCTGTTAAAAAATCGATCATCCTTTTTTTATTTCATAATTTAGATACCGAGCCGGCGTTTCCAAAAATCCTTCGTCTCAAATCTCATTTTTTTTCTCAATTTTCATCAATTTATTAACACTTTTTTGTTATCGATTTCTTTAAACGAATAATAACTATTTATTTTAGTAAATGTTCAAGATTGAAAAATGATTATTGAGTCGGTAGACAGACAAAGGCGCGAACCTGGAAACTTTCGATGAATTCAAGTCTTGGAGCCTTTAGAAAAGTCTCTTACAAATCAAATACAAATAAAATTAATTGAAATTGATCTATCATAAAAGATCTAATGAAACCTCTGTAGACTTTCGACTTTCAAATATTCTTTAGCATTACAAAATGCAGATGAAGGTATTCCAGCCGATTAAAACTTGACTTCAAGACAGAAAATGGTTCAAAATAGTGTCTGAACTGGGAATAACCCTGGTCAGAACACCGTAAAGTTACTCTGTCTGACTATAGTGCTTAGCCTGCTTAGCCTTATCGGTTGGATACTTTTAGTAGCTAGTTTATTATAGTCAGACAGAGTACTGTAACTTTACGGTGTCTTGACCAGGGTTATTCCTAGAAATTTCAGAACAAGCCAAAGCCAAGCTCCAAAGCCAAGCTCCAAAGCCAAGCTCCAAAGCCAAGCTCCAAAGCCAAGCTCCAAAGCCAAGCTCCAAAGCCAAGCTCCAAAGCCAAGCTCCAAAGCCAAGCTCCAAAGCCAAGCTCCAAAGCCAAGCTCCAAAGCCAAGCTCCAAAGCCAAGCTCCAAAGCCAAGCTCCAAAGCCCTGACTTCTTTGGCTTTCAAAGACGAAAAATGGTTCAAAATAGTGTCTGAACTGATTTTGTCCTGCTTAGCCAGATATTTTGGCTTTGAAACTGATCTGGCTTTCTGGAATAACCCTGATATTACCGACTCATTAGGTTGGTGCATAAGTCTTTACAATTTTTTCCTAACTTTTCTTTTCATTGAAAAGAATTCTTTGTATCTTGTATCCAAATTTGTAACCAATTTTATCAAATTTTACTAAATTTAACCAAATTTAACCAAAACTATTCAAAAATTTGTACCAAATTACCAAAACTATTTAGAAAAGATCTATAATTTCTTTACAAAAGAGAAAGAGAAGAGAGAAAGCTCAAAGAGAAAGCTCAAAGCTTTTAGAGAAAGCTCAAAGCTTTTAGAGAAAGCTCAAAGCCTTTAGAGAAAGCTAAAAGCCTTTAGGGAGAGCTCAAAGCTTTCAGAGAGCTCAAAGCCTTTAGAGAAAGTTCAAAGCTTTTAGAGAGCTCAAAGCTCACCATAACTCGCTAAAAATCTAAAATTTTCAATTGTTATTTTAAAGAAAATAGTTGAACGGATCGGTTTCAAATTTTAAAGAATTAAGCAATCAAATAAGCTCTATCTTTTTTACTTTTACACTAAAATAGATTTGTATTGAAGAAAGTGTCCAAATGTCGACTTTAGCATTGAAGCAGCTTTCAGTGCCGATCTTTGCACCTTTGAAAATCCACAAAAACAACGACTTCCAAGAACTTCTCAAAAGCCATTTTGCAGAGAAACAAATAACCTTTTTAATAGTTTAAATAGAAATTTTGCTGGCATTATTTTTCATGGCGTTTTGAAAAAAATTGTAAAGACAAACACCAATCTAATCTTAAACTCTTCTCCTGCTTTGATTTTATTAGAATTTTACAGTACTTTTAACGCTAAATAGAAGATCTTTTGTAGTATTTACTGATTTAAAAAGTTTTTTTAGTTCTTTTTACCCCATTCTCCATTTTCTCAACGCATTTCATTGGACCAAGCACTGTCGTTTTTTGTTTCAAATTTGGCTCGGCGTTGTTTTCAATACTTGAATCATCCTGAAACTTTTTAAATTCTTTATTTTCATTATTCACAAGTGATTCAAATCTTTAGGACATTTCTTTAGAACAAACCTGTTGCGAAGGAGCAATATCAGCAGCAAATGAGCCAACGTTTGGTCGATTCGTTGACTCGAGTGGAACGCTTGGAGCTGGGATCGGTCTTGGAGGTTGATCGTGTGACTCTTCAGAGTTTCCTATAAAGCTTGATAGCTTAATGTTTGTTTGCATCAGTTGTCATAAGATTAACAAACCCAAAATCTTCACTTGCCTCCAGTTTGTGGCGCACTTGTGACGACAAACGAGACTCCTTTGATGAAACCCTTCATTGGGACTCCGCCCGGTCCCTCAAATTCAAAGGGTCCTCCATTTGGATGTTGACGAGCCGCATCGGAGAAAGCTCGACCCCAAGCCGCCGCATTTTGCATATTCTACAGTAAACTTGTAAGAAAAACATCTGTCGGTCTTTTTTATCGTTGATAAAAGGTTTTTCGTGTTTTTCTCAGCACCAACACTTTGATTTTTGTCTATTTTGTTCATCATTTGATGCAGAATAAAATTTCGCGTCGAATGATACCAAAATCAACTCAAAATATAATATCCATGGAAAGTTGTTGGCTAAAAACCTAAATCCGGTCCATTATGGGCGGGACTTAACCTTTTGCCTCATAACTTTGCATGGAGGTTACATTTTAAGTTAGTTTTGGTATCATTCGACGCGAAATTTTATTCTGCATTGAATGATAGTCAAAATAGATAAAAGTAAAGGATTGGTGCTGAGAAAAACAAGAAAAGCCTTAAATTGCTAACGGCAAAAAAGGACCGACAAATGTTTTTGTTACAAATCCATTCTAAAGCTGATATCAAAAGCTTGAATTGGGATTGAAAGAATGAGAAAGTTTAGAGCTTTTACCTTTATCTGTAATTGTGGTCTGGTGAGCTATTGGGTTTTTTTGAAGAAAAATTTATGTCTCACATTTCCATGTCTTCATACACTTCATACAAAAACACTAGGGTTGGCTAAAGAGCCAAATTTTCAGCCCAACGCCAAGCCAAAGCCAAGCCAAAGCCAAGCCAAAGCCAAGCCAAAGCCAAGCCAAAGCCAAGCCAAAGCCAAGCCAAAGCCAAGCCAAAGCCAAGCCAATTATTTTTCATTTGATTTCTCGTAAATTTCAAATCATCAATATAAATGAAGTCAAGCCAAAGCCAAGGTTTTAAGCTAAATTACAAATTCAAGGGTAAATTTGAAATTTCGATCATTTAAAAGCCATTAGCTGGCTAGAATTTAATTTAAATTAGCTTTAAATTTGATAAGATATTTTGCTTTACTAGTTAGTAAGTCAGTAAAGTAAGTTTACTTCAGTAAATCAAACCAGATCTCAACTCAAAGTCTCGTCGAGCGTTTTCCGCTAGTTGAAGTCAAGTTTTAACATTTTAAATTCCCCTTTTACCTAAAAAAATTCGAAATCTCAAACAAACCTGTTGCATCAGATTGAAGAAATTCCCAAAGAAATCCGGGAATTGCCTGGAATCAGAAATTTTCTTTTGCAAATCCAAAGCCAAAGTTTACCCATTTGACAACGCCAACGACGAGCAAATCAGAATCAAAACTTTCATTATCTTTGTCGTTTTCGAAAACTATTCTTTTACTTATATGTTTTCTTGTCAATTTCAATCCGCTCTTTTTTTGTCGTTTCTCATTTTTTTCCCTAAAACGGCGAATTCGAGAGATTTTCCCTAAAAATATACAAAAAGTTCTAACCGGTTTTGGTGATTTTTTTGCAAAAAAGGTTTCACAATTTTTGATCACTATAAATTACAAATATAGATTTTTGTTTTTGGAATTTTGGAGATCTGAAGCTCTATAGAATTGCTAATTTGGAGTTTCTGAGTAAAGTATCGAAGTAAAGTGTTGAAAATAAGCAGTAAATTCTATCAAAAGAGTTTTGTGGGGGAGGGGTTGGTTAACGGCACTGCTCTAGAGCTACGCACTGCTCTAGAGCTACGCACTGCTCTAGAGCTACGCACTGCTCTAGAGCTACGCACTGCTCTAGAGCTACGCACTGCTCTAGAGCTAGGCAAGGCTCTAGAGCTAGGCAAGGCTCTAGAGCTAGGCAAGGCTCTAGAGCTAGGCAAGGCTCTAGAGCTAGGCAAGGCTCTAGAGCTAGGCAAGGCACTTCTTGAACACCCTGTATTCACAAATCTAATAGATACGAAGAGTATTTGAGTCAGCGAAGTTTTCTCAATTTGTCAGCTTTGTTTTGTTTTGTTTTGTCAATTTTGAAATTTTTGAGATATTTGAATTGAAATATCAAAATTTTTGAGCTCAAACATCTACAAACAAATCTTTGTTGGGCGATGAATTCACGAGTGTGTGAGCCCACTTAAAATCAGGAAACAATGGGAAGTTGACGAAATATGGAAATAGAAGTAGACGGAATAGACGGGAAATAGACGAAATGTATCTTTCGCTGGCTTTACCAATTTAAGGATCTTTTTTAGCACCTATTTCTTACTAATAACAAGGTTGGGACAGCGAACAGCGAACAGCGGACAGCGTTTAAGTATCTCCTAATCCCAAATTCAATTTTTTTAGCTCTCACTCTTCGCTCCTATTCACAGGATCACCAACTTATTCTAGTCTAGCAGTGAATTTTATCCATTTTAGATCTAGTTGCTAGATCTATGTCCAGTTAGTGTCAGAGACTAAAGACAAGTTTATTAGTGGCCGATTTATTAGACAGTTTATTAGTACTGTATCTATTCCTAGCAAACGGTCAGCCTCTACTTTCTTTATCAAAATGTATCCAGGCCCACAAGCGAAACTAATAATAAGCCAAAAGTCTGTTTAACAAAAAAAACTTTGTTAGGCTGAGATTTTAAAGATATTGTAAGACTTAAAATTTTCTTCAACGATGCTAAAAAGAGCTGAAGCTGAAGATAGTCAATTTTTCAGATCATACCTTTTATTTTGCTTACTTTAATGGGACTGAATGCTAGAATTTACAGTATTTTTCACTCTAAAACTGGACAGATCAAACATTCACATCGTTTTTTAATAGTGGACAAATAAATCGTTGAATTCTGGATCGCTGAATTCTCGAGTGTGTGAATGTTAGCGTTTTATGAGATTTCACTGGATGACCAAATTTCTTTGAGGAAACGTAAAAATAAAGCAATTCAAATCAAAGCAATGATTGCAATGAAGGCAATCGTGTTACTTTTCACTTCACTGGTCCTTACCAGTTGCAGGTAAACAGAAAATTACTTTACCAAAACTTGTATTTAGTGAATTCCAAGTGATCAGAGCCAGGAGACAATTGGGAGGTTTGTTTTCTAATGTCATATATTATAACTATTCAAGAAAGTAGAGCCTGACCGTTTGCTAGGAAAAGATACAGTACTAGGCCTCAAAAAAACCCTCCAGTTAGCCACTAATAAACTTGTCTTTAGTCTCTGACACTAACTGGACATAGATCTAGCAACTAGATCTAAAATCGATAAAATTTACTGTTAGACTAGAAGAATTTGGTGATCCTGTGAATGTGAGCGAAGAGTGAGAGCTAAAAAATTCGATTTGGGATTAGGAGATACTTAAATATGACTCTAGACTTTGATAAGACATCAATTTCAGAGACTGTTGGTTTGACACCCGCCCCGCCTATTTTCCTAGCAATCCAACTTTGAGCTCAAATTTCTTGGTGTTGGGCTGTTCAATTCAAATATTCTTTGTATCATTAGATGCGCCAAGTCTTTCTCTATCGATTAGTACAAAAAGTATTTAAGTTGAACGACCTAACATCAAGAAATTCGAGTTCAAAGTTGGATTTCTAAACAAAAAGGGCGGGGCGCATATAAAAGGTCCCACAATGGCCCCGCCCCTTTTGCCATTGGCAAGCTAACTTTCAGCTCAAAGAGCTTGGCGTTGGGATGTCCAACATAAATAGTTTTTATACCAATCGACAGAGAAAGAGTTGGCGCATCCAATGATACCAAGAATATTTAAATTGGTCAGCCTAACGCCAAGAAATTTGAGCTCAAAGTTAGATTGCTAATGGGAAAAGGGGTGGGGGCGAGTATCAAATGTCCGATAACGATTCCAGGACTTACTGGAGCTCTCGGAGGCCTGACTGGAGCGGCTACAGGAGTCGCCGGTGGTTTGACTAGAGCCGCTGGTGGTGCGCTTGGAGCAACATCTGAATTGGCTGGGGGACTTGATGGATTGACCGGAGCCGCTACGGGTATTGCGGGTGGACTTGCTGGAGCAGCTGGTGGAGCTATGGGAGCTGCGGCTGGGCTAGCTGAAGGAACTGCTGGACTCGCTGGAGGAGCTGCTGGAGCAGTTAGTGGAATTGCTGGTGGACTTGCTGGAGCCGCGGGAGGAGCTGTGGGAGCCGCTGCCGGACTTGCTGGTGGAGCTGCTGGACTCGCTGGAGGAGCTGTTGGAGCAGTTAGTGGAATTGCTGGTGGACTTGCTGGAGCCGCTGGAGGAGCTATTGGAGCCGCTGCCGGACTTGCTGGTGGAGCTGCTGGACTCGCTGGAGGAGCTATTGGAGCCACGGCTGGATTGGCCGGTGGATTGGCCGGAGCCGCCGGAGGAGCTGTCGGAACAGCTGCCGGATTGGCTGGTGGAGCTGCTGGACTCGCTGGAGGAGCTGTTGGAGCCACGGCTGGATTGGCCGGTGGATTGACCGGAGCCGCCGGAGGAGCTTTTGGAGCTGCCCCTGGAATAGCTGGAGGACTAACTGGAGGAGCTGCTGGGCTTGCCGGAGGAGCTGTCGGAACGGCCGCCGGATTGGTCGGTGAAGCTGCTGGACTTGCTGGAGGAGTCGCCGGAGCTGCCAGAGGAGCACTCGGTGGTCTGACTGGAGCGGCTACAGGTATGGAATGACTCAACACAATTAGAATAAACAATTATAAATAGAATAGTTATAAATCGAACATTTTGCTTTCAGGTATTGCTGGAGGCCTTGGCAAAGCAGCAGGTGGAGCACTTGGGCCTGGGCTGAGCGGTGGCGCGATCGAAGGTCTATTCAGGGAATTTGTTTCCTTACAGCAGACAACAAGAAAGACAACAACCGTGAATCTGGGTGGTGGACCGCTTGGTGGTCCGATTGGATAATAATAAAAGTTTCAAAGCATCAATGACAGCTTCAACAGAAAACTCAAAACAGAGTAGTCTAACTTGTGAATGTCATTGTAAAAAAAGTTCAGTATTACTTGTAAAGCAATACTAATAAAAAGCTTTTAGAATCAAATGCATTTTAAGCGTAAAAACTTTATGTAAACATACTTTTTGTAAAATTTATGTCTAAAAATCTGTTCATTCTTTCATTTCGCTTCGTCATCACTTTACAAATCGTCTTGCGCGCATTGGCGATCGCATTTGTTGTGATTGTTGTGGCTGAGTATTGCTTGGATTGTATCCAATTTGTCCTTGGCCACTTGTTCCACCCATTCCTTGTTGAGCTGGCGTTTGTGGGGGTGGAGAAGGTGGGCCACCGATTGTGTCAAAGAATTTCTTGTTCAATGCTTGAGTCTCCTGAAAGTGACAGAAATTGAACGGTTAAAAATGGTTTAGCTGCAAATTTTATAGTCTTTATTAATAGCCTCTATTTACCTGAATTCTCGTCTGATTCGTGTACTTGTCCCCTTGATAATCGGGCAAATAACCGGGCTGGCAAGTTGAGCAGCCTTGTCCATCTTGACCTAAGCAAAGCTTTGAACTTTTTAAGACTCTTTTTTTGTAATTTGAATTGGCAAATCCTAGAGTTCGAATAAATTGTCTCTATCCTATCGCAGATTGAATGCAATTGAATAAATTAGTTTAAATTAAGAGATTCTACACGTTTACAAATGCCAAATGAGTGACCGAGTGACCAAATTCACTACAGCATTCCAGACTAAAGATTGAATATCTTTTAACCAAACAATTTAAAAGATATTCAGGCTTAAAGCTCTTAAAGCTCTTAAAGCTGGCTTAAAGCTTTCTTAAAGCTCTCTTAAAGCTCTTAAAGCTGTCTTAAAGCCGTTTTAAAGGTCTTAAAGAGGCTGAGCTGGCTTAAAGCTGTCTTCAAGTTGTCTTAAAGCTGTCTTAAAGCTGTCTTAAGGCTCTTAAAGCTGGCTTAAAGCTGTCTTAAAGCTCTTAAAACTGTCTTAAAGCTCTTAAAGCTGGTCTTAAAGCTCTTCAAGCTGTCTTGAAGCTCTCTTAAAGCTCTTAAAGCTGTCTTAAAGCTGTCTTAAAGCCCTTAAAGCTGGTCTTAAAGCTCTTCAAGCTGTCTTAAAGCTGGCTTAAAGCTATCTTAAAGCTGTTTTGGAGTATTTTCAAATCTACCCCCAGCTTGCTGTTGTTGAGGCATTGAAGAAGGATTTTGCATTGATTGCATCGATCGCTGCTGCGCACAAATAACCGTCAAGCACAATGTGATCAAAATCCAACTGAAAATAAATTAAATAGTAGCTGAAAAGATTTCAGCTTATACTCAATCAGTTGCAAAGGTAGAAAGTTTCTAGGAGTCAAAGCATTCACCAAAAATTGTATACTACTAAATTGTATACTGTAATGTACATTATTCTAAGTCTTCTATAATCTTTTATGATTTTTCTATGATTATCGCAACCTTTTTTTTAGAAAACTTGCTGACAAACGCCTGACTTATTGCCAAAGTATCAAGTGTTATATAGAAAAATAAAGCCCTTAATCTTGGCTATATTTATCTATTAAACGTTTCCCGATTGGAATTGTACAACTCATTTTACAAGCTTTTGAATGAGCTCAAGTCGGTTTCTCTCCGGCGATCTGCCATTTTTGACACTCATCTTAATAAAAAATTGTTTAAAAGTTTTCTTGATATGATATTTATAATTTTGAAGAAAGAAGTCCTTCCCTGAGCACAAAACCACTTTGGAAACAGAATCTGATGCATCCAGCAAGCTTCCACCCCAGCCCACAAAGCTCGATTGTTCAAGATTAGTGTAAGCAAAATTTTCCCGATTTTATTGACTCAAATCAGTGGCCACCATCTTGCCTGACCTAAATCCTCGCACTATGGTGCATTAACGAATCAAAGGCGTGTTCAAAAGCCCATAAAACAATCAAGTCTTTGAAGAAATCTCTGCAGAAGCAGACCTCGATGTTAGCTATTGGTTCAACATAAAACCATGAATTCATTTCAAATAATTTCCATTATTATTGACGACTTCTGCCCATTTTACAGGCAATTTGCGGATTCCTCTTTCGTGGTAGGATTTTGGTTTGTGTGTGAGACAAGTGTGAGAATCAAAAATCGAGGACTGGAGATGTCAGCTGTCAGCCCAGTTTGAGCACTTTCTTCAAAAGAAATCCATTTTGGTGTCAATAGAAAAGTTGTAGAGAATCAAAAATTAGGCTTATAGCCAAATTTCCAAAAAGATACACTTAGTAGTTTCGCTTAAAATGCAAGTTTTGTGTAAATTTGGCATTTTTTGAAAACCAGTTTTTGAATCGTTCTGAAAATTTGGATATAAGCTTGATTTTTGATTCTCTACACCTTTTCCAATGACACCAAAATGGGTTTCTTTTGAAGAAAGTGCTCAAACTGTCACATATGACAATCGCCCGCAGTTTTCAATTCACCAACCCAATCCATATCTTTCCCACACCATTGATGCTTTCCCAAAACGTCTTCGAACCTGCGTTAAGGGCTGCGCTTCAAGCCTGCGCTAACTTTTTGAGAAAAAGTCACTTTATTGTTTGATAAATGTTTAAGAAATCAAAATTGGATGTTTTTATGTCATCTTTCTTTAAGGCGCGGTTGAAAATCAGTGAAAAAACACCGAAAATCGGTGTTTACTTTGTGCGGGTAATTCTGCGCCGCCCTATAGATTTCCAATCGAAAAGTTCCTTGTAGAAAAATGATGCGAAGATTAAGGCCTTTATTTTTTTACATATAACACTTAGTACTTTGGTAGTAATTCAGATGTTTGTCAGCAAATTCTCCAAAAAAACTTGTCGCCATAATTCCCCAAAGTTTTAGAGCTTTTTTAGCAAAAACAAAATCCTATCAATTCTCGAAAATTGAACCCACCTTCTCATCTTCACAGCTTCAATGAAAACTCAAAAAGAATTCCAAAAAAACTAGACAAAATTGTTGATCTAACCTCAAAAATTGTCTCCTTTAATCATTTCAAATCTCAAGGCGGTGCTAAATTTTTTTTTTTCCAAAAATTTAGAGATGGAACACCAAAAGAAAAGTAAACAAAGTGAAAGAGGAAAAGAAAAAATAACTCGAAAAGTTTTCAAAGTGATGAGTAAACATTCGAAATTCCACTTGGGTTTAGAATCCACTCAAAAGATCTCAACTCGACTGAAAAGCGCTAAAAATTGCTCGATCACTTTTCACCTTTTCGCCCTTTTTTCCAGAGTACGTTTTTGCGAAGTTTACAGAAAAATTCGACTTGGCGACTTAAAAATAGAGTTAAACACTGGCAAACAGTGTCAAACACTGTCAAAAACTGTCAAACGACAGAATCAAACATCATCTGTACGGTTTCTAGAGATTTTTGAACACTAGAGATAAAATTCTAGACATAAAAAGTTTGAGGTTTCAAATTGCAAACTCAGTTTTTTTTCGCCTCAAACATCGGTGCAAAGGATTGAGTTTAAAAATAGAGTCAAACACTGTTAAACGACAGAATCAAACATCATCTGTACGGTTATTTGTTGGTAATTCTTTTCTTCTTACTTCTTAGCAGCTACCAAAATCTTACCAGCTTTACTTATCATAAAAATAAAGTAAAGTAAAGAATGAGAAAGAAAGATTTTCGGAGAGGGGATTGAAGCCTCGACCTTTTTACTTTCCGGGCAGCTGGAGTTAATCTTATTGTTATTAAATAGCATTAAATGGTATTTGTAAAAGGTAAAAGCCAGTCTTAAAGAAGCTAGACTTCTTCCCGTTTTCTTCTTCTTCTTCGAATTTCTTCGAATAGAAGACCGCGTAAAGAGTATCATCGCGTACTCCTGCGTAGCAGCCCTTTTTAAAATTTCTTTTCTGCATAAAAGCTTTCAATCAAGTGCTATAGGGCTGGAAAATGACTCAAAAATACTACATGAGCTAACAGATTTTTGAGCCATTTTCCAGCCCTATAGCACTTCATTGAAAGCTTTTATGCAGAAAAGAAATTTTAAAAAGGGCTGCTACGCAGGAGTATGCGATCATACTCTTTACCCGGTCTTCTATTCGAAGAAATACGGTATACCATATTTTCTCTAATAGTAGTGCACCCAGAGCATCGCCTAAATTGCTCGAAATCTCAGGAACCGCTTATCAGAACCTATCGATGTGCGGTCGGAAAATGTAGCTGACGATGAGATCTTGTGGGGGGATTTGAGTGTTGAGCTTCTGTGAAAACTTAGAAACCGTAAAATTGTCATCAACTCGGCTCGCTTGCGTGCACTACTATTAGAGAAAATACGGTATTTATAACAAGAGCTGGAGTTAATCTTATTGTTATTAAATAGCATTAAATTGTATTTGTAAAAGGTAAAAGCCAGTCTTAAAGAAGCTAGACTTAAGTATGTATTACAAGGGAAGGTCAACTGGCTGAGCCGGCAAAATGCTATGTGACCTATACCATTCGACACAGAATTTTATTCCGAATCTAGCGTATTCTCTCTAATAGTAGTGCTTGAGTGTCGCCTAAATTCCTCTAAATCTCGTCAACCGCTTACCAAAACCTATCGATGTGCGGTCGGAAAATGTAGCTGACGATGAGATCTTGTGGGAGATTAGAGTGTTGAGCTTCTGTGAAAACTTAGAAACCGTAAAATCGTCATCAACTCGGTGGGGTGCACTACTATTAGAGAAAATACGATGCTTTATTCAGTTGAATAGCGACAAAACAAGATTACAATAATCACCCAGGATACCACTCAAAACACGCCCAAAAAGATAAAAAGATATCTCAAGAAAGAATCACAGAGCAGTCAAATCAATTGCCGAAATTGAGGCTTTAAATCTAGGCAAGGTGGGAAGATCACGAAAATGAAGGGGTAAAATGTTCCACAATTTAATAATTCGATTAAAAAAGAAACTGTGGGGGCTTTTAGAGGAAACGGAAGGTTGGCGTATGAGAAAAGGCCACTCATTTATGATTTACTCATTTACTAAATGCACTAAAAACTGAGCTATCCGGCGCATGATGTCAGAGAAGAAAGAGAAAATACAAGGGGAATGATTTAAATATCTTAGAGAAAAATTAGCATCAGCAAATGTTCTTGAAATTCTCACCTTAAGCACTTAAGATTTGAATTGATTGAATGAAAGTAGCCTGGCAATTAAAAACAAATATAGTAGCACAGAAAGATCTCATCACTTAAAATAGAAAACAGCACATCATAGAAAGAATCAAGTACTGTAAATACTCTAATAGAAAGCCACCTCTAACAGTAAATATTCTAATCTAACACCATTTCCTCGTACAGTTGCGTAGTCTGATTTCTTTTTAAAAAATCATTTCTTTTTCAGCCCCTAGATTTTTCCCTAGATTAAAACCAAAAAATACTAGATTTCAAGGGCTATCACATCCAAACGACATCCAAACGCACCCTGTAACATAAAGCAGTAAAGAAAATGGGACATTCAAAGTTAGACTACGTGACTGTACCCCAGTCACTTCAATTAGAGCGTTCTATTAGAGTCACTATTAGAGTCGACTATACGCCAGTCACTATAGGGTGGCGTTCAATTAGAGCATTTACGGTATCATCAGTGGTATCACACCATTTCCTCGTAACGTTGCGTAGTCTGATTTCTTTCTCAGCCCCTAGATCTTTCCAACACTTTTGAAACCAAAAAATACTAGATTTTAAGGGCTATCATTTGACATCTAAACACACACTATAACAGAAAGCAGTAAAGAAAATGGGACATTCAAAGTTAGACTACCCGACTGTACGCCAGTCACTATACAGGGTGCGTCATAATTATTGCAACAAGAGTTCAAAGACCGTTTTCCAAACAGCTTTCTTATTTTTTTGCCCCCTTTTTTTGTTGTGTTGCGTTCTATCTTCTTTATTCTTGCCTAATTGCCTGCCGCTCACAAGGGAGGACGGTCAAAAGAGGAAGACGGTTGAGGACTGGTGTGTGGCCAACTTTCCCTCAGTGATCACCAAGGATGAATGGCCTCCAAACTCACCGGATCTCAATGTGATGGACTTTTCCATTTGGGCAATCTTAGAGGCTAATGTCTGCTCTTTGACCTTGAAGAAGTCTTTGACCAAAGTCTTTGTCTTTGACCAAAGTCTTTGACCAAAGGATGGAAGGCGACTCCTCAAGATGACATTCGGGCCACAGTGGAGGCATATCCGAACCGATTAAGGGCTGTTATCAAGGCAAAAGGCGGTCATATCGAATGATCTCTTGTTTCCTTATTTGTTACTGTTAAATAAAGCTATTTCTGTTTAAAAATCTTCTTCCGGTGAAACTTCTTGGTGTGCAATGCCTTGAGTATCTTGTTGCAATAATTATGACGCACCCTGTATGTAAAATAAATTAAACGAAATAAAGCAAGCAAAAAGCGACAAAGAAATCTTTAGAATAAAGCTCATAAATTGCCAGTCACTTGACGTTCAATTAGAGTATTTACGGTATAATCAGTGGCTAAAATAAACCCTGTTAAACAAAAGCTGTTTATGCCTCAAAATTAACATTTTTTTGGTCATTTCCGTTTTATTCCCATTAACAAATGTAAATTTTGGAGATAAAACGGAAATTAGAAGAGGGATAATTTACAAAAGCTAATTTGGGAAAAAGTAATGCTTTGTTTAGTTTATGAACGAGCAGATTTCGTCAAATAGTTTTTGATATTGGCTTTACTGTGTCTCGTTGAAATTTTTATTGATTTAAAATCGATTCTTTACACGTTTTACCGTCGTTAAACTTCTGATAAACGATTTTACATTAGATTTGTCAGATTTCTCATTAAATTTCAATTGTAAACGCTTCAGAGACTAAATAAAAGCTCAAGAAGCTATTTTAGACTTTTTATTTTTGATATCTTAAACCATTTTAGCGTTTAAACGAAAGAAATGTCTTTGAAAGTGATTTTTTTTGTCGTTTTTTATACGCATTATGCATTTTTGGACATATTTTTGATGCTTTTTCAGTTTGTTTTTGGCCAAAAAAGTCACAAGATTACGGAAATTTAATGAATTTTCCGTCTTTTCTTCTCGATTTCAATCCATCAAAATCGAAAAGAACAAAAAAAAGAATGGAATTGACAATTCTTCAACTCATTTAGCTTGATCTCAGTCTTTTTTCAAAAAAAAAAAACTTGAATCACGATGATTTTTGTAAGAATCATGATGACTCTTACAAAAATCGAGCTGAAGTTTTTCTTTCCAGCTTTCCAAGGTTGTCTTTGGTTTTGTAGTTCACCAAACTACCAAATACCAAATTCTTACCATCTAACAATCTTACAAAAATCGAGCTGATTTATAGTTTTCCAACTTTCCAAGGATGTCTTTGGTTTTGTGGGACCAGCGCCTGAGTCTACCAAACTATTTACCAAGATAACGTACTTTTAAATACAGAAAGACATGTTTTAGAAGCTTCTCTCACAACAATAAGTTTAGCAACGCTTTTTTATATCCGAATAACCTAATATTTATCATCTAGCAATTTTGCTAAATGAAGCACTTTAGCATATATCGATTTGCCAATTTGTAATTTGTAATTGATAGATCCGGTAAAAGCAATTGGTAAATCCGGGGCCAGTGTTCAATCTGGACAAAGGTTAGGTAAAACTAGAGCGAAAGCCTAGTCCAGGCTTAATCAAGAATATCCAGCATCTGAGCTTGGCTTGGCTTGGCTTGGCTTGGCTTCTGTATTAAAAATAAAACCGAAATTCATTTGTAGGTTTTGTAGACCAGCGCCTGAGTCCACCAAACTATTTAGCATCTAGCAATTTTCCTAAACGAAGCACTTTAGCATATATCGATTTGCCAATTTGTAATTTGTAATTGATAGATCCGGTAAAAGCAATTGGTAAATCCGGGGGCAGTGTTCAATCTGGACAAAGGTTAGGTAAAACTAGAGCGAAAGCCTAGTCCAGGCTTAATCAAGAATATCCAGCATCTGAGCCTGGCTTGGCTTGGCTTGGCTTGGCTTCTGTATTGGAAATAAAACCGAAATTCATTTGTGGGTTTTGTAGACCAGCGCCTGAGTCCACCAAACTATTTACCATCTAACAATTTTGCTAAACGGAGCATTTATCTTTAGCATTTATCTTTAACATTTATCGATTTGCCAATTTGTAATTGGTAATTGGTAAATCCGATCAAAAAAGTCACAAGATTCGATAAATTTAATGAATTTTCCGTATTTGCTTCTCCATTTCAATCCATCAAAATCGAAAAGAACAAAAAAAAGAATGGAATTGACAATTCTTCAACTCATTTAGCTTGATCTGTCTTTTTTTCAAAAAATTTGTCTAAAAAGGTTTATTTTCCCACGATCATACATCAAATTAGGTACATTCTTTCATTTTTTTTTTCTCAATGACACTTAAAACAAACGATTACTTACTCATTTTTCTCCTTTTTCTCTTCTTTTTAAAGTAAATTACCATGAGATTTTACACTCGTGACTTTAAAGGATTTACTCAACATGAGAAATTGAACTAAAATATTAAAATCACATTTTCTTTGAATTAAATAATCATTATTGCTTACTTAGATTTTCGATTTTCAAAAAAAAAACAATCTATTTTTGAAGCGAATTTATTAGGTTGTTCGGATATAAACGAGCGTTTTAGTAGTCGACAAAATTGATCTTAAAAACAGAAACAACACAGTTTAATCTTATTCACGATTATTATTGATTACTTCTTGCCATCTTTTGCGCAAAGAATTGATGCCGCTCTTGAAAAACTTAGCCGGCTGTGACTCGAAAAACTTGGCGACCCAATTTTGGACATCTTCACGGTTTTTGAATTTCTCATTGGCCAAAAAGTTTTGAATCGACCCGGATCAATTGTAATCTGAGAGAGCCAAATCGGGAGCATACGGCGGATGTGGTAAAACTTCCCATCCTAGATTCTCTAGTTTTTGCTGAGTCATTTTTGCAACGTGAGGTCTAGCGTTGTTATGGATGAACTTTATCTTTGATGTGTCTACTCCTTGACGAATGAGAACTTCATTGACCCGATCAAGTTGCTGTTTGTAGAGGTCGGATGTGACTGTTTGGTCGGTTTGTAGAAGCTCGAAATACACAAGGACCTTGTTATTCCACCATACTGAGAGCATGATCTTTTTCTCATGAATGTTCGGTTTCACGGCCGAATTTGGCCGTTCTCCTGGTCCTAGTCATTTCCGTTTTCGAATAGTATTATCGAAATGGATCCACTTCTCATCTCCAGTAACGAGAGAATCAAAAAAGCCATGATATTTAGCGTAGCGGATGAGGATTCCGGCAATAGCGACCCGTGAAGCCTTTTTTGCACTGCTTAACTCGTGAGGAAGCCATTTCCCGCATCTAATCGTCTTTCCAATGGCGTGGTGATGCTCATCAATGGTAGAATTTGGACATAGAAACTGTTGAGCAAGTTCACGCGTCGTTTGACAAGGATCCGGTTCGATTACAGCCCTCAAAGTATCGTTGTCTACCGCTTGAGGTCGACGAGAGTGTTCATCATCCTCGAGACTTTCACAACCATTCCGAAAGCGTTGGAATCAGGCTCGACATCGGCTTTCGGCTCAGGCTTAGACTTAAGCTTAGGCTTACGCATCATTCCTATCATTCCCAAATGCTTTGACCAAATCTCGATGGGATTCCGAGACTGTTTTGCTCAGTTTGAAGTCGTAAAATAGGCAGAATTTGATATTTGAAGTCGGTCATCTAAAGCAAGAAAAAAGATCTTAAAAATAAGAAATTATCCATTTAAAAAGTTTCCAAATATGCGCAAGATAACGTACTTTTAAATACAGAAAGATATGTTTTAAAAGCTTCCCTCACAACAATAATTTTAGTAACGCTTGTTTATATCCGAACAACCTCATATCTAACCTTATCAAATACCTTATCACTCATCAATCCTTTATTCTAAAACAATTAGATACAAAACCTAAGAAGAATCCCAAGAAGATCTCGCCGATTTGATTTGGTAGATTTTATGCGTTTTAGTTGAAAGCTAAGTTAAGCGTTTTAGTTGAAAGCTAGGTTAAGCTAAGTTTAGATAGAGAAAATGAAAGAATGGCAGAAAAAGAATGGCAAAAGGGTAATTTTTGTGAGCGGTACGGTAGTGTATCCAGGCTTTAGAAAGCGCGCCACGCCGCTTTCGCGCCAGTCCCTTTAAACCACCTGTAAATAGGATTCTAAGTACTAAACAGTATTAAAATTTTGCAAGATTGACGCTTTCAGAACGACTCTTTCACTTCGTTGATATATTTGAAGTCGGTCATCTAAAGCAAGAAAAAAAGACCTTAAAAATAAGGACTTATTCATTTAAAAAGTTTCCAAATATGCGCAAGATAACGTACTTTTAAATACAGAAAGACATGTTTTAAAAGCTTCTCTCACAACAGAAAGTTTAGCAACGCTTGTTTATATCCGAACAACCTGATAGAATTTTCATTATTTCATCACTTTACACCAACGTTTTTTTCCAATTTAATCAAATTCTTAAAAACAGGTGAAATCTTTACATTTCCCAATCCGATTTTTAGAAAAAATTGACTACAACTTTTTTTTTGCATAAATTGAAATCAGTTCCTTGCTATCCTAGCTATCAAATTTTTCATTATTAAAGCAAATTCTCTAGAGATTTAAGTGGCCATCAGTACTTTGAACCGTTTCAAGCAGTTTTTAGCAAAAAAATGCTTTTCAACTTGTTTAAAACGTTTTCTAAAGAGGCGAAAAGCTATTGTATTCCGGAATTTTTAAGATTTTTCCCTTTTTTAACCAAAATAGTTTTAGAATATGGGTCGTTTCGAGGATTTCGAGAAAATTCTACTCTACGTGAACGCAGCTTTGGCCTATATTGCTAATTTTATCCTAATCTATTTTATTCTGAATCACAGTCGACGCCAACTCGGCACATATCGATATTTAATGTTACTCTTTGGAGTGTTCAATATGGTTTTCCCGAGCATTCACATTTTGGTGATGCCGGTGGGTTTTTAGAATCACGATGACTCTTACAGAAATCGAACTGATCTATAGCTTTCCAGCTTTCCAAGGTTGTCTTTGGATTTATAGTCCACCAAACTACCAAATACCGAATTCTTACCATCTAGCAATCTTACAAAAATCGAGCTGATTTATAGCTTTCCAGCTTTCCAAGGTTGTCTTTGGTTTTGTGGAACCAGCGCCTGAGTCTACCAAACTATTTACCAAGATAACGTACTTTTAAATACAGAAAGACATGTTTTATTAGGTTGATGCAAAAGTCTTTTTCATTTTTTTCGTACTTCTGTTAAAAGGTAACAAATTCACCAATTAATCTATAGTTTGCTCTATAAAAAAAGTGTTTTTTTGTTCAATTTGCATCTTTTTAAATGAATTTCGGTTGACTTTCAAGCAAATTCGAGAGTGAAAAACGCCTTTTTCGTAAAAATCTATAAAAAACTCTATGGAAAAATTGGCTGAATGAATTTCTCTGAAATTTTGGCGAAATATCAAACGTTTTTTTTCTCTATCTTTTATCTATTGACACGAAGATAGGTTTTCTTTAGCTAAGGTGTCTAAACCGCATCATCGAGTTAGCCCTTTTTGACTACCCGACTTCATACTCTCAAGAAAATCCAGGCATTAAATATTTTTAAACCCGTTTTAATGTTATTTTGCAGAAAAATAATTCGTTTTTCTAATGAAACCAACCGTAGTTTAATTGGTGCATTTGTTGGATTGAAACGGCAGACGAAAAAAATGAAAAAGACTTTTGCATCAACCTAATAGAAGCTTCTCTCACAACAATAAGTTTAGCAACGCTTGTTTATATCCGAATAACCTAATATTTATCATCTAGCAATTTTGCTAAATGAAGCACTTTAGCATATATCGATTTGCCAATTTGTAATTTGTAATTGATAGATCCGGTAAAAGCAATTGGTAAATCCGGGGCCAGTGTTCAATCTGACCAAAGGTTAGGTAAAACTAGAGCGAAAGCCTAGTCCAGGCTTAATCAAGAATATCCAGCATCTGAACTTGGCTTGGCTTAGCTTCTGTATTAAAAATAAAACCGAAATTCATTTGTAGGTTTTGTAGACCAGCGCCTGAGTCCACCAAACTATTTATCATCTAGCAATTTTCCTAAACGAAGCACTTTAGCATTTATCGATTTGCCAATTTGTAATTGGTAATTGGCAAATCGGGTAAAAGCAATTGGTAAATCCGAGGGCAGTGTTCAATCTGGACAAAGGTTAGGTAAAACTAGAGCGAAAGCCTAGTCCAGGCTTAATCAAGAATATCCAGCATCTGAGCTTGGCTTGGCTTGGCTTAGCTTCTGTATTAAAAATAAAACCGAAAATCGTTTGTTGAGTCGTACCCATGAGCCTAATTTTAAACCCATCATTGGTTTAAACGGTTTAATTACATTAAGCAAAACCTTTTGCTAAACAAAACCTTTTACTAAACAAAAATGGCACTAGAAAAGCTGTTTTCACACTATTGAGCACAAAGTTTATTGCAAATTTCAGTTTATTTGACATTAATCGTAAATCCCTTAGAGATTACCGTAGATCTAGAGTCAAACTTTGAATCAAGCTTATCGTTAGTTAAAGATTTGATCAAAGTACTCAATTTGCTAGGTATTATATTCCTAAAACTCTACAGTAAACGAATTTTCAGAAATTTCACATATACGGCTACGCATTCGTCAAATACCCCTCAAATCTCTTGATGAACACTTTTGAGCCGGCACATTGGGCACTAGTGATACACGGATGCTTTTTTATAGAGGTGGAAGCTTTAAAAAGTGTTTTATCCTTGATTTACAACTTTTTAGTACACAATTTTTATTGTAAAACTTCAAAAAAAACTCTGTAACTGTAAACTGTAAAAACTTGAACTGTAAAACTTCAAAAAACTCAAAGTTTCCAGAGCCAAACCCTGCTCGCGTTTCACTTCGTTTATCGCTACATTCTCATTTGCAAGTAAGCCTTTTCTTTATTTTCAGAGTTTCACATTAATCCGATGTTTAATCCGAGAAAAAGTACTTTCTTCAGAAATCATCTCCTTTTCATTTTCAACTCAAAGAAATTTCTTCCGCTTCACTTGAGTATTTGGCTAATGATGGGTGTTATTTGGGGGACAAATGCGAAAAATTTGATGGGATACAATAATGAGTTGAAGGTATTTCACTTACAACTCATAAAAAACATAGAAACAAAATGAAAATTTGATTAGAAATTAGAGAAAAGCGCTCTAAATTTGAAATTTTCAGAGTTATGTGGGTGAAACCCTTGCCGAAACGTATGGCTTCAACGTAAACAAGAGCGGTTTCTTAGGACTAATGTATCGGGTAAGTCTATCTATCTACTTTTCTAGATAAAAACTCAATCTTGTAGCTGAAAAGTGTGTATTAGGCTGGCAAGAAAGTCTTTGCACAGATTTGAACTGGAATTTTCATCAAAAAGGAATCCACGAATTCAAGAACAATTTATTCTATTATTTACAAGTCACTTCAGCTAAAGAAAGCTCTTATTTTTTTACCTAAAGCCTACTCTGATTTTTGTTAAAAACTGCTTGAAATGGTTTAAAGTACTGATGGGTACTTAAATCTCTAGACAATTTTCTTTAATAATGAAAATTTGATAGCTAAATCAAGGAACTGATTTCAATTTAGGCAAAGAAAAAGTTGTACTGAATTTTTTCTAAAAAATTTGATCAAATATCAGAGGATGGACAGGTGACACCGGATTGGGAAATGTAAAGATTTCACCTGTTTTTTAGGAATTTAGTTGGCCAAGTTGGCCTATTTGCCTAGTTGGCGTCGACTGTGATTCAAAATAAAATAGATTCTTATAAAATTAGCAGTATAGGCTAAAACTACATTCACGTAGAGCAGAATTTTCTCGAAATCCTCGAATTGACCCATAGTCTAAAACTGTTTTAGTTAAAGAAGGTTAAAATCTTAAACAGAATAGCTTTTCTGAAACACAATAGCTTTTCGCATCTTTAGAATCTTTAGAATCTCACGTTTTAAACAAGTTTAAAAAAAAATACATTTATTGAAAACCAATAATGTGATACAAACAAAGGGTACATAATAAGACATAAAGGTTAAACACACAATTTTATGGCACTGCGGCCGTTCTCACCCCTATTTACCCCTATTACCCAAATGTTGTGAAAGAAAAAACCCACTTGGTGGGAAAAAGAAACATTTTTATCTTGCCAGAGTGATTGAACCCTCGACCTTCCGCTGAAGAGACAAGACTCCTAAACGGTCGGCTAAAGTTGAAAAACATTTTTTCTAAAAACTGTTTGAAACGTTTCAAATTCGAGATGACCACTTAAATCTCTAGACAATTTTCTTTAATAATTAAAATTTGATAGCTAAATGAAGGAACTGATTTCATTTCAGACAAAGACAAGGAAAGATTCATTTATAGGCAAAGAAAAAGTTGTACTCAATCAAATGCTGATCAAAAAGTTTAAAACAACAAAAAACTTTAGCACAAAGCCGTGAAGGGAGAGCAAACTTGGAACTGGACAGCACTTCTCGCAGGCGCCATTTGCATGTCGCAAATCTTGACCACTTTTGGAATCATCAGCTTTTGTAGCTATAAGATTTTGACAACTTTAAAGGTGAGCTTGAAAAATTTCGCTTTAAAATTGATCTTCAGGCAGCGGCGATGAGCGAAAAGGTGCGCAAACTGCAAATGGAGTTGTTTCGGGCTTTGTTAGTGCAAGTACGTTTATATTCTTTAAAAAAAAGCTTAACAAAGGGTTACTATAGGAGTAAATAAATAGGTACTTGTCTTGAGACTTTCATCAGTTTAAAAGTCCAGGAAAGTGAGTAAAGGACGGGTGGATTAGGGTAGCTTTTCAATGAAAACAATTCAATCATTGATCACAAAGCTTTCATTACTAGAAATTGATGTCTAAAGTCAACATTGTTATGTACAATTTTAGACGCTGATCCCGGTCCTCTTTGAGTACATGCCATCATCAATTGTTTTCCTCGGTCCTCTTGTGAAACTCCCGATCGGTCGTGGATGCAATTATATGTCGATCGGGATCTCATTTTATCCATTTGTCGATCCCCTTTGTATTCTTTATTTCATTCGAGACTATCGAAATGCGATTTCAAGAATGATACGGTTTGTTTTTTCAACTTTAATCCACCAAAAAAGCGTTTATTTTGAAAATAAAAACTAGCTCTCATATTTATTGGGTTGGTGAATTGAAAACTGCCGGGCTTTGAACTAAAATTTATCCAATATAAAACCATCAATTCATTCCAAATCATTTCCATTATTATTGACGACTTCTGCCCATTTTACAGCCAATTTGCGGATTCCTCTTTTGTAGTAGGATTTTGGTTTTGAATCGAAAAACTTTCAAAGCCAATTTTTGACTGCTTCTTCTGAATCGAAGTGTTCTCCCGCAAACTCACTACTCATGATCAAAAGTAATCAAAAGGGGCGAGGTCCGGACTGTATGGGGAATGCGCCAAAAGTTCCCAAACAAGGCTATGTATTTTACAAGGAACCAAATCTGTAGCGAACCGGAGCCAAAGCTTTACCGAAAAGGAACCAAATCTGTAGAGAAAAGAAACCAAATCTGTACCGAAAAGGAGCCGAATCTGTACCGAATCCAAAACTGAATCCAAAATTATTGGGTTGGTGAATTGAAAACTGCCGGAATTTGAACTAAAATTTATTCAACATAAAACGATCAATTCATTTCAAATAATTGCCATTATTATTGACGACTTCTGCCCATTTTACAGCCAATTTGCGGATTCCTCTTTTGTAGTAGGATTTTGGTTTGTGTGTGAGACAAGTGTGAGACTCAAAAATGGAGGACTGGAGATGTCAGCTGCCAGCCCAGTTTGAGCACTTTCTTCAAAAGAAACCCATTTTGGTGTCAATAGAAAAGTTGTAGAGAATCAAAAATTAGGCTTATAGCCAAATTTCCAAAAGGATACACTTAGTAATTTCGCTTAAAATGCAAGTTTTGTGAAAATTTGGCATTTCTTTTGTGTAAATTTGGCATTTCTTGAAAACCAGTCTTTGAATCGCTCTGAAAATTTGGATATAAGCTTGATTTTTGATTCTCTACAACTTTTCCATTGACACCAAAATGGGTTTCTTTTGAAGAAAGTGCTCAAACTGTCACATATGACAATAGCCCGCAGTTTTCAATTCACCAACCCAATAGCTCTCATATTTACTTTATGCTTTTTGCAATCTGACGTAGTGATTTTCAAATTTTTCAAAGAAAAACCAACAAAAATATAGTCTAAATCTAAATGGAAATGAGTTAACGAATGTCAGAAAGCGTACATTTACCAGAACACAAAGTATAACCAATTTTCTATTGGACTTTACGATATTCAATTAACAAAACCCGAACTAATAGTGCGATTAGTGCTTTGTTGATGTTTGAAAAGTTTTCCATTTCATTTCCCAAGAGGATTCACCTGTCAAAAAATCAAAAATCAAGTCAAAATAGAGAATTAAAACATTTTCCAATTCAAATTCCGTGTAAAATTGTGATTTTTCAGTTATTTGAGCATTTTTAAGTAGGAAATTTTGAAAGAAATCGATGCTAATTGAGATTTAAAGTTATGAATTTATTGTTTAACGAGCTATGTATTTATTGTTTATTGTTTAATTTATTGTTTTCTTTGAGTTTAACGCTAATCTAAAACTAAAACCAAAATTTAAAGCTTCTTTCCGAAATTTACATTTTAAAAAAAGCTGTCATTTAGTAGAAAATCATATTGATGAATGATCAAAACCAAGGTCAGGCTCAGCTTTTTGAATTTGCCCAATTCTGATCGGATTAAAGTCCTGGTTAAAGTCTAGACGAACTTACAAGAAGAAGACATGGACTTATTATGGGTTTTTTTTTTAAACTTTAACTATTTCATTCTACCGGACCTGTATCTGGAACTAGTTTTTGCCAAATCCTTGCCCTCATTTAGCTTGATCTCAGTCTTTTTTCAAAAGAATTTTTCCTAAAACGTTTATTTTCCGATTTTCTAACGGTCAAACATCAAATTAGTTACTTTTTTTCTCAATTAAACACAAAATAAAAGATTTTTTTACTCATTTTTGACACTTTTCTCTTTTTTTAGAGAAAATAAAGCGAAAAATCTTTGGAGAAGGCTTTCATAAGGTGAAGTTAAACGCCCGAGACAGCTTACTCGGTGGCTAAGTACTTACCAGTAGCTAGACTACTTACCAGTACTTACCAGTAGCTACACTACAAAGCCAGCGAGCCTGGTTCGATCCCCGGTACTCGAATTTTCTTTTTCTTGTTCTAGTTCAGCCTTCATTGACTTTTCTTATCTCATTATTTTCTTTTATAAATCAAAAACCAATTTTAAATTTAGAAACAAAAATAAGTTAATCTATTAACTTGTTGTTGGAAATCTTAACAAAAATTGAATGAAAAATTAAACAACGAAAGTTAAAACAGTCCCAAAAAAGAAGTTAAACAGTACAAATTTGAAGTTTAAACAATGAATTATAGATAAAGCCAAGATTATTCTATAGAAGCGTCACAAGATTATTCTATTGTGGCTATCCGGAAAGATTACAAAACTAAGCTTAGATTATCAAAAAAGTAAAAGAAAATTCCCTGCTGGGGATCGAACCTAGGCCTTGTAGCGTTGGCCTTGTAGCGTTGGCCTTGTAGCGTTGGCCTTGTAGCGTTGGGCTTGTAGCGTTGGCCTTGTAGCGTTGGGCTTGTAGCGTTGGCCTTGTACCGTAGCCACTTACCAATTGACCAACCAGAGAGTGGCCGATTAATTTCACTTTATCAAGATCCCCTCATTTCCCTCACAAAAACTAATTACAGCTTAAATTGGGTATAATGTCAAAGTTTAAAAAAACCTATAATACCTTTTCCTTGTCAGTTTTTGACCTGGTTTGGTTTAACTTACAAAACTATAGTCTAATTGGATCAATTTACAGCATTTATAGACGCAAAGAACAGATAATTTGTTGTAAATAACCGTGTAATTTGGAGTAATTGTAATTGCCAGTAATTCGGAAAACTCTGACTCGTTGAGTAGTCAATAATTTTCATGGGAAAGTACTCAAAAAGTCATATTTAGACGTAAATTGCTGGGGAGATTATATGACTTTTTATTTATATTTTAGAAAACGTCAAATCGGTGGCTACGTGACGGAGACTTCTCTAACAAAACGGCCATCACAAGACGCGCGAAATGTTTTCAGCATCAATCGCTCGAACAGTAGCAAAACGAGAATGAGCAGTGTCATTGATGGGATTGATGAAAGCCAATTGAAGCCTTAAGCTTGAATCAATTCAAGCTTAAATTAATGTAGTTTTACAGTACATTTAATAGTACTACAGTACATTTAAAGTTATAGCTTTAAAGTAGTCATGTTTTAAAGATTCAAACTTTTTTTTAGACAGAATCTTTGCTAACTTTTATGTTTTTTTTAAACTTTTTATGTTATTTTAAAGAAAATAAGCTTTTAAATAATATAAAAATTGAAAATTTGAGTTTGATTTGGTAAAACGTATAGCTATAATCGATTCCTTGACCCCAAAAACCTCTGGGTACAAATTTACAGCTGAATATCTTCTTTTATAGAAAGATTCCTTATGTAAATGACTTGCTAAGACTATTTGTTGGCTGTTTAACTGTTTTCTATAAATTCGACATCTTTTCAAGCCATTGTGTTATTTAAACATCAGATTCCGGAACAATGTGATCTTTAAAGCGCCATACTCACAAGGGAATGATGATTGAATCTGGCCATTTCCAATGATATCTAGACGCAGAATTTTACGCTGATTCCAATCATGTAAAAATTAGCTACCGAATCGCGCCTAATCACCGCCAAACTGGCACAAAAGTTTTGAGCCTCTTCTTTAAAGCCGATTTCTTTAACCCAAACCGTTCATCGGTGGCTGAGTGGTTAACAGCAAGCTCAGGGTCGAGAATCCGAACCCGAGCCGTCTTTTTACTATTCTACGTTCTTTTGTGTTCTTTGTGGATCCACATTTTGAACCTCTCCTTTTAAGCCAATTTTTTTCAACCAAAACCAAAACCAATATAATATTCTAGGATGAACCCCTATACCACTCTCGGCCTTTTTTGAAGGACGTGGAAAAGGGCATAACTCAAAAACTAGAAGACTTCTTGTAAAAATCATTACAAATTTTAGAAACTACAGAAAATTTACTAGATTTTTGGATATGATTTCAATAGGTTTTGATAAACGCGTCATCAAAACGGCTAAAAACCGAGCGCCAAATTTCGTCGATCACCTTGTGTACATTGAGAAGCTATTAAATGTCTAACAAGAATGAAAAACTCCAATCGAACAGGAGAAAAGCGTTTATGTGGACCAACAAAGAACACAAAAGAACGTAGAATAGGGTTGGGTCGGGTTCGAAATCTCGACCCTGAGCTTGCTGTACAAGCACTCAACCACTCCGCAATCAACGGTTTGGGTTAAAGAAATCGGCTTTAAAGGAGAGGCTCAAAAGTTTAGGCCTTTTGCAGTGAATAAGCTGCCATTCGGCAGCTAATTTTTACATGATTAGAATCAGCGTAAAATTCTGCGTCGAATGGGTTAGATATCATTGGAAAAGGCAAGACTCAATCATCTTTCCCTTATCAGTCTGAAACCAATGGACAAACCCTTTTGTTTAATATAATATTATGCTTACAGTATATTGACATCCTTATTTACTTAAGTATTTACTGTTTTTCCCCTTTTGAAAACTGTGAAATAAACTTTGTGCCCAAACTTATCTCTGCACTCGAATAAACTTTCAAAAAACACACTCAACCCAAAAATGATCAGAGGATCAGAGAAGGATTTGAGAAGCTCCTGCAGCACGTCACTTTGGCAGTATAAATTGTTGGACTCAATACAAGAATTCGAGACAAAATCCTACTGTACTTGGGTGTATTGATCTTGCTGTTGCAAGTGGGCACAGGCAAACCTCAAGGTCAAACGACTGTGAATGGCTGTGATCAGGGATGGATTTCAAATAGCATTTACTGCTATTATCTTCAGGTGAGCAATAAACAGATGGCTAACTTCGAAAGTTATTCGATCAGATAAAACCAGATCGGTTTTTGTATATGAGCTTATCACAAACCAGCTGCGATAGGCGCTCCGCCCCTTTGCCATTGGCAATCCAACTTTAAGCTCAAATTTCTTGGTGTTAGGCTGACCAATTTAAATATTCTTTGTATCATTAGATGCGCCAACTTTTTCTCTGTCGATTGGTATAAAAACTATTTAAATTGGACAATTGAACACCAAGAGATTTAAGCTCAAAGTTGGATTGCCAATGGGAAAAGGGGCGGGGTCATTGCGGGACCTTTTATACGCGCCCCGCCCCTTTCCCATTGGCAATCTAACTTTAAGCTCAAATATCTTGGTGTTCAATTGTCCAATTTAAATATTCTTTGTATCATTAGATGCACCAAGTCTTTCTCTATCGATTGGTACAAAAACTATTTCATTTTGACAGCTCAACACCAAGAAATCCGAGCTTAAAGTTAGATTGCCAATGGCAAAAGGGCGAAGCGTCCAACAATCTTGTGAAATTGATTATCATTAGATGTGCCAAGTCTTTCTCTATCGATTGGTACAAAAACTATTTAAATTGAACAGCCCAACATCTAGAAATCCGAGCTTAAAGTTAGATTGCCAATGGGAAAAGGAGCGGGGCGCATATCAAATGTAAAGAAGAAAATAGCGTTTGGAAAAAGTTGAAAAGTATTTCAATTAGCTTTTTAGAACTTCACTGTGAGCCAAGGCTGGAATCGAATGTACACAAGAGACAAAGCAGCACAAAGTTGTCAAGAAATGGGCGCCCGTCTCGTTTCGATTCACGATGACAATGATTTAAAGAAGATTTATGGTAAAATTTATAAAGTTTTTGACTTTTAGATTAAAAACTAAGTTATTTAAATCAAAAAAAAAAAATAAATTTCTAAGTTTAGCGCTTGGAATCAGCAACGAGAAAAACGATAAAAACGTTTGCCAGTGATCGCCGTGTATTGAAGGAGCCGCCGTTTCGACTGGACTTCGATATGTTGAGGGAAAAGCATATTTGAGTTGATAGAGGATATAGTTATATGCAAATTTAAACGCTAAACAAAACTCTGAGTGTTTTACACAAGGTAAAATCCACAGCTAAATTGAGTGGTTGGACGGAAGCCTCGTTGACTACAAATTCTTCCCGCAACCCGTCTACAAGGATGTCTATCTCGGGGTAATTTAAATCTTCTACAGTACTTGTTTTGACGTTGAAACGGAGGCTAAATCCAGCTCTGTTTACATACTCAAATTTTCGATAAAATCCGCTCAAAAGTATCAATAGGATCGTCCTAATAATATGGTACGATCGGCAATAGGATCCTTTATAATTTTCTCTTTGTTTATAGTTACTTTAGTCAATGTATTCCTTATGTAGCTAGATTACGGTACAGCTAAGTTAGTGACGGTAACGGTTTAAATCTTCAGTTCATCTTCGACGCTTCCTGTAATCCGACCACTCACACGCAACTCAAATCGTTCACGAAAAGCAATCGTCTCTCAAGATTTATTTGCAAAAAGCAAAAAGAATGAAAACAGAATAAAAGAAGCACATTGAAAAGAAATTGAAATTGAAAAAAATTGAAAAAATTGAAACAGCCAAATACAGCTCTTATTTTTCCTTGATTTCAAAGCACAAAATTCGATTGAAGTCGAAAAAGCTCGTCCCTTTTGCTTTCATTCGCTTCGCAACGCCTAAAAATTGTGCTTTATTTTCTCAAATCTCTAAATACGTCTCTTCTGGCACACTTATAGTCAGTTCTCATTAAAAAGCTCGGTTTAATCACACAGCTTTGGTACAGTACAGTACACTGGACAATGAAATATCATTTTTGAAAAACGCCCGTCACTTTCGCGCGTCTGTAACTCCCTTGTCTTTGAGTTTAAACTATTAGTGTTATACATTTTCTGAAAGCTCTTTTTCAAGGCCTACACAATGGTAATATTAATATTTAGAAATACGGTAAAGACAAGGGAGTTACAGACGCGCGAAAATGACGATCTTTTTCAATATGATATTTCATTGTCCAGTAGTGTATATTATTGTACCTAGATAAAGAAATACATTAATCTTGGCTTTGAATAGCAAATCATTTGCCTTATCAACCATATTTAAACTATTAATCCTTTTCGTTAATTCAATAGATTTTATCCGCCCTTTCCCTGAACTCAATCGAATTTTATAGCCTTTCGCAAGTTCGTCTAAAGATGGCCGACTGGCTAAGAGCTTTGTATCTTAGTTTAATCCCTCGATTTAATCCCTCGAGGTTTAATCTCTCGATTATTCATTCCTTTTCCATATATATAGGTTTGTTTTCTATATTATAGAGCTTAGAAGTGTTTTTGCGTATTGTTTGTCCCACATTATTCGTGTGAATAGATGTATCTTGAGAAAAAAAGCTTGGGAAAGCTTAACTCTGATTAGAGATTTCCATAAATTGATTGAATTGTTTCAATTGATTGAATTGATTGAATTGATTGAATTGATTGAATTGATTGAATTGATTGAATTGGTTCAATTGATTGAATTGATTGAATTGGTTCAATTGATTCAATTGATTCAATTGATTGAATTGATTGAATTGGTTCAATTGATTGAATTGGTTCAATTGATTCAATTGATTCAATTGATTCAATTGATTGAATTGATTGAATTGGTTCAATTGATTGAATTGATTGAATTGGTTCAATTGATTCAATTGATTCAATTGATTGAATTGATTGAATTGATTCAATTGATTGAATTGGTTCAATTGATTGAATTGGTTCAATTGATTCAATTGATTCAATTGATTCAATTGATTGAATTGATTGAATTGGTTCAATTGATTGAATTGGTTCAATTGATTCAATTGATTCAATTGATTCAATTGATTGAATTGATTGAATTGGTTCAATTGATTCAATTGATTGAATTGATTGAATTGATTGAATTGGTTCAATTGATTCAATTGATTCAATTGATTCAATTGATTCAATTGATTGAATTGATTCAATTGATTCAATTGATTCAATTAATTCAAATGATTCAATTAATTCAATTGATTCAATTGATTGAATACTTGAACCAATTGATTCAGTTGATTCAATTGTTAAAGTTAATGTCCTTGGTATCATCTTTTTGTTTACTGTAGCATTTAGTAGAAATTACGGTATCCAAGTCACTCTTTAAAGTAATCACTCGGGTTTAAAAGAAATCTCCAAACCAGATAAGGATACAGT